CGTTCCCATTGATCTCTTGGTAGTTCCGATGTAGACCTTTCCGCATGAACACGGAATGCGGTAGACTCCCGCAGCTGAAAGTGAGCCCCTCTTGTCCTTCGCTGACCTGATGGTCTGCTGGATCTTCTTTGTAGGCTTAAAGATTGTTTTGATGTCGTGTCTTTTCAATACTCTGCCAATCCTGTCGGTGACACTCGGAATATACGGCAGATATGCGTGGGAGGTGGAGGGTCGTTGTTCGGTATCCCGTGATCTTGATGATCTTGAGTTCATTGATCTCTCGATCTGTTGCCATTTGCCTCGAACGCAGTTTTTAGGTGTTCAAGTTCCATCTGGAGGTTCTCCGGTTCGCAAATCCTTCGGGCTCGTTCTGTCAGGGTTCTGATAACCCCATACTTTTGACTTGGGTGATGGTTGGATAGAGCATGCAGGTATCTGTCCGTATGGGTTGGTTTTCTGTAAACTGTGTGGCCCAGCTTGTTACCTCGCTTCCTCACTAGTACGTCCAAGAATGCAAGTTGTTGGTCATTTTCAGTCTCCATAGTAGCTTGTCCATACCATGTTTCCAAATCACGAAGGTGTCATCCACGTACCGGAACCACGTTGCTGGCTTGTACTCTGAGGTCTCGATCGCTTTTTCCTCAAAGTGTTCCATAAATAAGTTGGCTATAACCGGGCTTAGTGGGGTTCCCATTGCCACTCCGTCCACCTGTTCGTAGAAGTTTCCCTTCCACACGAAATAGCTACCGGTCAGACAGACTTCAAAAAGTTTGCAAATATCGACAGGAAATATCCTGTTCACCAGGTCCAAGCAACTCTTCAGAGGTACTTTGGTAAACAGTGAGACAACGTCGAAGCTCACAAGGATGTCGTTTTGTTCAATATTGATATCTTGAATCTTGCGCACGAAGTCGGTGGAGTCCTTGATGTAACTGGTGCCGTGTCCTACGTGTGGTTGAAGCAGCGATGCCAAGTGTTTAGCCAAGTAATACGTTGGTGATCCGGGTGCGCTAACTATTGGTCTTAACGGGACATCTACTTTGTGTATCTTAGGTAGGCCATAGAGCCTTGGTGGAACAGTCTCCGTCTTCACAATGCGCTTCTTGATTTCTTCTGACAGTGATGATGACTTGATGAGCCGGTTGGTAAGACGTTGTCTAACTTGCGTCGGATCCTTTTTCAGGGGTTTGTAGCTTCCCGGGTCCAAGAGTTCCTCAATCTTCCTTTCGTACTCCTCGGTCTTCAAAGGAACGGTTGCGTTTCCTTTGTCCGCTGGGAGTATGATGATACCCTCATCCGTGTTCAGGCTACGCAGTGCCAGTCCTTCACTTCTCGTCAGGTTAGTCTTGGGTGGTTTTGCCTTCCTGAGGATGTTGGCTGTCTCGATTCGTATTTCTTCGGCATCTTGGTCCGGTAGGTTCTTGATGGCTGCTTCCGTGCTGCAGATGATCTCAATCGGAATGTGACGGGGAGTGATTGCGAAGTTCCCTCCTTTGGTTAGCACTGCTCTCTCGACCTCCGTGAGTACTCTGTCCGTCATATTGACCACGAGTCGCTCACTGTCTAGGCTTGCTGTTTTGGGCGCTTGTTTTTTCGCAAACTTCTCGTACTTCCTTATCTGTTGCTCCTTTGTGCGGTCCAATTCGTTCCTCATGTTGGAATGTGAGATTGCATCCATTCTGTCCCAATCCTGTTGTTCGATCTTGTTGCCCAGTGTCAAGTGCAGGCCAAGAAGTTTCTCGTCCGTCTTCGCAAGGCTATGACGAGTGTGGTGAATTCTTTCCCGGAGAAAAGCTTTCTCAATCCTTCCCCACACAATTTCAACCGAAAGGAGGAGACCCTTAGACTCAACCAAATCTGGAACCCGATCCTTAGGAACGCCCGAGCAGTACCGATCGATATCCCGAGACCAACCGAAGCGGAACAAGCCCCGCCCCCCACCAATCGGCCTAAATACAACCTGCGCAGGAGAAATCGTCAGTCTACGTCCAACATCGGAGATGGAAGGACCTCTGAAGAAGCTCGCCACTCGTGCTAGCGAAACGTTAGGAAGTAATTCCAATCGACGACGGCCTTTAAACCCGAATGAAGATAATAGCTTATCAACGGGCCGCGAAAGCCTTAACCAATTTATCACCCTACATTTTATTGCATTTTTGGATAGTCCTTTCAAAGACAAATTCAACGATATATATGAGTCCTGTGATGCACCTTTTCGAACTTAGTAGCGATCATCTTCAAAATTCGGGTTATATTTAAACCATCATTGTTGGGTTGCTATTAATTTTTTAAACTTCTTTCCATTATTATTATTATATATTATTATATTTTTTTTTATTTTTAAGAAAATAATGCCTTTCTTTGGGCAATAATGAAATTCAAAATATTTCTCAATCTTCTTAAATCAGACACCCTGTGTATTATTGGATTTTCGAATTACCACTTTAATAGCAATTTGAATTATATAACATAGTACGGGTCTCTGACTTACCGTTTTGGTTTATTTGACCACAATATTATATAAATTCTTTTACATTCATAATTTAAGAATTTTGTAAAAAAGGTCCTTAAATGGAAAAAAAAACTTTTAAAAAATATTCATGCCTCTTGAAAGATACAAACACAAAATTGAAGATATTATTTATTTTGAACTTTTTGACATAATCATCGCGGTAGCTTTGAATATAAAAATAGTTCTCTGTTGTGGTAATATTACTGATTTTTTGACAGATATCAGTGTATATTTTAAGCGTATTTTTTCGGACTTCCAGTATTTTCTATTTATTTTATTAAGTTGCATTTTGTTTGGATCTATTTTTGTATAATGTATACGAAGGAGGAAAAAGTTGCTCTCAGACGATATTTCCCTATAGGCGATTGCCAGGAAAAAATATGTTTGCCAAAATATACCAGCAGTTTCGAACAAATGGCAGAGTTTTAGTGAAAAAAAGTAGGAGCCGAACGGGTTTGGATGAAAATATGCAGCTAGATATTCTTCTGCATTTTGAAAATACTCCAAAGACCTCCACCCACCTTGCCGCAACAGATGTAGACGTAAAACGAACCACACTTCAAACATGTTTGAAAATTAACAGTTATAAGCCATTTAAACTCACACCAGTACAAAAACTACAAGAAGCAAATTTAAACTTAAAACTCGTTTTTTTGCAATATAATTTGATAAGATATTTTGAGTGTTTAAATATAACCCGAATTCTCAAGATGATCGCTAATAAGTTCGGAACGGTGCATCACGGACCCATACTCATATATGTCGTTGAATTTGTTTTTGAAAGGACTATCCAAAAATGCAATAAAATGTAAGAGACGATTACGAAAATAAAAAAAGGTCATTTTGAAACAACTTTTGTATTTAATTTTTTTTAGAGCCCCCGTAGATTTCGAGATAAGGTATAGGCCCCACTTGAATGGGTGACCTTATACAATTGCCTCCTTTTCTTGGGCGGTTTTTTATTATCCAATAATTTTAACCAACCACTAACCAACACTGCTTCTGCCCGGTGGGGATTTTTTTCTATTATCGGGGCACTGATTTTTTTGTCCTATGGTACGGCCTCTATAATGTCAAGAAGTAAAATGATATATGCTGTGTTAATATTAAAATCAATACAAATTTCAGAATGTTCAAGTAACATCAGATATGGAAAAAATACATTCTTTAAGAACCCAAATTATTTGATTTTAGAGTCTAATAAAGGTTGTCGGAAGAGTGAGAAAAATGATCCGTGAGAATTTTATTTGTCGGAAACAAATTCAATATGAATGTAGTAAGTCATGGAAGCGTTAAAATAATTGTTTTTTTTTGTGACAACCTTTTTGATTAGTTTAGTTAGTTCAAATACCGAATGGTCTTTGTGTAGTATTCTTCTCCCACTAGATTTTAAATGAGCGCCTGGATTTATATTAGTAAAGTCATCATGAGCACATGTCAATAGTTCGAATCTATATAGCTTTTACAGGCCACTAGAGAGCATCTAACCAATGATATCAAGGATGAACTTTGCGGTTTGATTGACTTTTGATAGATAATATGAAATAACCAGAAAAGGGTTGGGAACAAATATAGGAAAAGGCATAAATGCACGCCATTTTAAAAAATAATGGTTTTGAGCACTGACAATGATGTAAATGGTGAGTAAATTTTGAAATCCTGCAAGTGATAGCAAGAGTCAAAACTCGTTGCAGGTGCAATGTTCAAAATAATCAAGATATCTAAGAAACCATTGGGATCAAGTATAAGGAAACCTGAAAAAATGAAATAATGTACCAGGTGTTTCATTTAAAATAAGGAAATTTGTTGCTGTGAGAGAAATATAAGATATACTGTTAACTATTTTAGTTAGTTGCAATACAAAGAACTTTGTATTTAACATTTTTCGATAAAAAGAAACTGGTACGTAGATATTAAAGCAGTGAATTGCCACGCATATTTATTTTTGATTCGTTTGATTAGTTTCGATTTTGAGGCTCACCCTTCACTACACACTTCATTACACTTTGATAGATCGTGTGCGAGTCGAACAAATTACTTTTCCGTTATCCGAAGATTTGTCACCTTTATCTGATTGGGTTTCCTTTTTATTAGTAATCTCAATCCTTATTTGCATTGGAACATTCGATGTATATTTGTTTTTCATATATGCTGAAGGCGTCGTCTCTATTACTAATGACGTTGTAAGACATCAAATTAATTGCTGTTGGGAATACGATCGAGCAGGTGTTAGCTACGGATTAACAAGACATACGCACGGTTTTGTATGAGATTCGAGTGGCAGAGCACGATAAATTCGTTCGAACAAATGTTGTTTTATTAAATAATAATCGTTAACGTATGGTAATATCGTAATAATTAGATTAAGGAACTTGTCGGTGCTGGAAAATATTACGACGGGCTTTAAAGTCTCGTTCTCGTTAATTAGCTCGTTTGTATATAGAGACTGTAGAACACCAGAGTTTTTCATCTTTGCCGTTATTTTCAGGAATAAGCATGCTTTGGATGGCCGTTCTAGGCGCCATATTGGTGTGGTATACCGTCCCGTGCACTTGTCGTGGTTCATTACAACGTACACCAGGTAAGAAACAACAGTTTTAATGTGGGTAATCATTTTTGCAGGAATTGTTGTAAAACCAACTATTTTCAAAAGCACAAGACAGCAATCGCCATCATCACCCGTAAAAATAAATAAGATCACACATCGGTTTTTAGTTAGGCTTTTAAAAAATAATTTTTCATACAATAAAGTGTTCTAATCTTTCCTAATTAAAGCAAAATAATAATTAATCTTTTGTAAATTGCATTCGTAGAGAAACATCCAATTCTAATACAATTTCATAGTCATGGTTGCCAAATACACCCATAGATTAGAAGTGTTCTGCGCCGAAGAGTTCTTCAATTGATAATGCGGGTGTCGAAATTCTCGGACCACCGTTATATTCTCTAAAGTTAGCTCCTAGTTATAACCATCTGCGCGAGCATATTTTGCACTCAAGGGATGATCAGATGCTGATGATAAAAATGAAAGAGTAAAGCCCTAGAAAAAAGAAATATTACCATTGTTAAACCAAGTGCGTGTCAACGTTATAGACCATGTTGCAGTTAGGAGAAATTTGAGATATGCGGTCGAAACGTCTCAGCTATCTTAAATAATGGTAACAACAATAATAATAAGCCTTAATAATTCCTAGTCCCAGATGTCTTGATTATATGTACATTTATTTAAATGAATGATATGCCGCAAAAAATTACAAAACGAAGAAAGAAAGAAAAAGCAAAGGCAAGCCAGTTAATTGGATAGAAAAGCATTCAAACAATTTTAAAAATTAGGTCAAAAGAGATATAACAAAACCATGAAACATGTGTACAAAGAAAAACTTTAAATAGAAAGAGATAATTACTTTACGTAGATGTTCGACCTATATTGTCAAAAATGTGATGCCTAAGGTTTTGTTTAAAAAATTTGATCTAACTTGGAGAGGGAGTTTATTGTAAGCTTGATAGTCTTATAGCTAAAACCGCGTTTGAATTATGCTTGGGAACAGCGAAAAATTCCCAATGGCAAGTATTAACTGGCTTTGGGTGACAATTGTTTTAGTTAAAATGAAAAGCTGTAAGTCTTCAAAATCATTTAACATGTTATTGCATGAGCAATAATGCTACGACGCATACACATAGCATAGGTTTTATAAAAGTTTCCAAGGTGTTTAATATGACGTGAAAGCTCAGATAAAACTATGAACTTTTACAACTTTTACATTTTAAATTGCTCAAAGCGAATCAGCTTAAGTTTTAGGAATTATAAAATATATAAATATTCCATCAAATTTTCGTGCCAAAAAAAATGAGGTCGACGAAATTTTCACAGTTTTCGTAGTAAGACATTTTCATAATAATGTCAAAGTAAAAATTCATTGCTGTCAACTTTAGATTAATAGCGAAATGCAATTACAAGAACACGAAAGAAAATGCCTTTTAATTAACAGGGTCAAGAAAAAAGAGGGTGTTTTTTATTTTGTTTCTACTCCCTTGTTTAAAATACGGAATTGTATACCGATCTAGCGTGCGAGAAGCGTCACTTTACCACGGGAGTTTCTTGTGTCACGGATCCGAGCCACTTTTCGGACATTTCCCCGATTTTACCGCACGGTAAGTTGCTTGTTTATTAAACACTCGCTTCGCTGCGCTCTGCTCGTGCCAAATAAACTCGTGAGTCAAATGCCATTTACCACAATTGTTGAATAATACAGGGTGCGGCAGGATTTCAAAGAGTGGTTGTTCGATTTGTAAAACCGGCAACATTGTGTACGCACTCGCGTTAGGCAGACAAAAGTATACAATTTTCAGATATCGACATGGCTTGGAGCGGAGTGCATCGCGCTTTCATTGTCGAGGAGTTTATTAAAAATGGCGACGCAGCGTGCCTTTCGTAATCAGTTTGATGTTGGTCGGCATGGTGCGGTTCCGGATGAAAGAACAATTCGTCGGTGGGTTTTACACTTCAGGGAAACAGGTTCTACGCTTAACCGAAAATCTACTGGCCGACCAAGGACAGTAAGAACACCGGAAAATATGAATACAGTAAGACTTTCCGTACAACAGTCTCCGAGACGTTCAACTCATAAGCTTGCAGCTGCTTTGGGAATTCCCGATAGAAGTGTTCGGGAATGTACAGGAATGAAGCGCGAGAGGTTTTGAAACCCGTACAAATTTATGCCTGGATATTCATCAAAACATTCCCAGAGGCGCTGTATTCATGTCTAGCGATGAAGCTCATTTTCACCCCTCGGGTACCGTAAATAAGCAAAATTTTCGTTATTGGTCAGCAAATAGTCCACGGGAACGTCATGAGCGACCTCTTCACAGTCCAAAAGTCACCGTCTGGTATGCAATCTCGGAGTTCGGCGTGTGGGGTCCTTACTTTTTCGAAGAAGATGGAATAACAGTAACAGTCAACAGAGATCGATATTTAGATATGCTTAACAATTTCCTGCGTCCAAAAGTGAACGAGTTGAACCACGATCATAGAGAACATCTTTGGTTCCAGCAGGATGGTGCTACATCGCACACAACGTGTCATTCACTAAATCTTTTTCAAGAAATGTTCCTAAACAGAGTGGTGTCTTTACGGGGTGATCGTGGCTGGCCGCCACGTTCGCCTGATTTGTCGCCTTGCGACTTTTTTCTTTGGGGTTACCTGAAAGCGAGAGTTTTCACACATCGTCCGCGGACTTTGGAAGAATTAAAGGCAGCCATTCGCCAAGAAATGATCCATCAGGTAATGATGCGCTTCCGCGAGAACCTACAAGAGTGCATCGAGAATAATGGCCGTCATTTAAAAGACATCATTTTTAAAAAATAACGTTCCTAAATGGCATAAAATGTACATTTCAAAAATAATTAAAAAAAAAATGTTTGCTTTATGTAGTTTGGTTTTTATTAATATCCCAAATCCCCTATCATTTTGCCGCACCCTATATACCATATGGATTTATTATAACGCATTCATGGATCGCGATGGAATAGTCCACATCACCGGCTTCAACTCAAAAACATTTTTTCTACTCCCGTCTGTAAAATACCTATTTACACACCGATCTAGCGTGTGGGAAGCGTCACTTTACCAAGTCAGTTTCATTTCCAACGAGTCCGAGCCACTTTGAACATTTCCGGCATTTTACGGCACGGATTTGGGAGCAATCGGATTTTTTCGGAGATATTTCCCACGCTTTGAATTTTGACGTTTGTGTTTGATGTATTCGTGTTGTTTTGCAAAAATGCATAGTTTGCAAGAAGTTCGGTAAAGTTTTTAAGTCACTCGTTTATTAAACACTCGCTCCGCTCGTGTCAAATAATCTCGTGAGTCAAATGCCGTTTACCGCACTTGTTGCGTAATATACTATTAACAAACGGTGATCGTGCGAGTCTCGAAATCTAAGGCTGTGAGTTCTCGCTCCAATTTAAACCGAATCAATCTCCGTTTTTTAAATTCCCGGAACAACAATTTTTAATTTCCGCCAGCGCACGTTACTTATCACCCAGGGCGGTAATAAATATTCCCGCGCAATTAAAAGACACACATACGGTACATAAACGGCAACGTTATGAATTATGTTAATTTTATTCAAACAAATTTATCCGTGGACGAATGTTTTACGTGCCGAATTAGCCGAAAGAAATTTCCGCCGTGAGAATAATGGCCTGGGAAACTCTTCACGAACGTTTTCGCCGAGTTATACGTGGAATTGTATGAAATATTTGGAACATAATATAAGGAGAACGGGGGTTTTCGAATGGTCGCGGTTTGTGGTCAAACGCGGCCAAACTGGTTTATTTAAATATTGGCAAAAAATAAGCCCACGATCTAATTGCAGAAAAATAAACAGTGCGTATGAGACTGTAAAAAAATGCACTCCTATTGCAAAGTATTTAGTTTTGGTTTTGATAGTCCAAAAGATCCTAGACTCTTTTTTAAGTTACACACAAGGTATAGTTCTTAAAGAACAAGGAACCAAGAACCACTAAGTATAAATGCCGACCTCGTATGAACTCCCAAAGACGCCACGTGATAATTGCAATTGGAATGTTCAATTTCCGAAAAAAATTTTTATTGAGATACTACTGCTCCAAAAATTTTTGCCGTAGAAAACAGACTTTTTCTTTCTAGCGTGCTGGAAGCGAAGTCAGTTTCGTTTCCCATGAATGCGAGCCACTTCGGACATTTCCGGGATTTTATCACACGGATTTGGGAGCAATCGGAATGTTTTCGGAGATATTTCCCACGCTTTGAATTTTGACGTTTGTCACTTCTGACAGTCATGTCAGTGAATGTATTCGTATTGTTTTGCGAAAATGTACCTAAAAACTAACGGTCGTAGAAAAAGTATAGTATGCAACACGTTCGGTAAACTTTTTAACTCACTCGTTTATTAAAAACTCGCTCCGCTCGTGTCTAATAAACTCGTGAGTCAAATACCGTTTACCGCACTTGTTGCATAATATCCTACTAATGCTATTTGTTTTCCACTGAAGGTTGATTATAGTGCTTTTATTGTTATAATGATCTAGCGGTTCTAACAGGTTATAAGTCGTTTATATAAATTAATAAAATTATATAAGTAATCAAAATATAGAGTATTTCGTTTAAAATAAACAAAGTTGTCAGAGCGATTCATTAATACAAATGATACCTCCTATTTTTTATTTTATATATTTATATTAGCCAATTTCTTCAATAAATTGTGACGTTTATAAACTATCACTATTTTTTAAGAACCACAAATGAAATTTCTGCAAACCATTAAATATGGATGGCAAACCAATACATTTTAAGGATCAAATAAAAGATGTATTGAGTATTGATTGATTCAGAATTGAGATTTACTCGACATATTTAATACTTTTTTAAAGGCGTTTTAAAATCTACAAATTGCCTGTTTATTCTTGATTTATGTGTTAAAGACGAGGCTGTTTAAATTTTTGTTCTCATCTCAATAATTGTTTTTCATAATTGAAGATTTTAGTACTTAAGATATTACCTAATAGCAATTGGCAATTTAGGCAATTTATTTAAGCTGGTTTAAATCAAATTACAGACATTATATAAAATGGAAAATTAACATGTCATAGGAAAATAGAACGGGAATTAAATATCTTTGTCAGTTGTTATGTTATGCTATGTTATACAAAAGACTATACAAAAATTTCAGAAAATTAATATCCGTTGTAATATCTATACATTATTTTCTTCAAATGCCAATTTGAGGAACTGTTTCTGGAGCGACTCTAAACTATCAGTATGACACAGATATATGGATGTCATAATAATGAATCATTCTATTTTATTATAAAGTTCTTATACTTGATATATTGTATTAACTGTCCAACATGATGTAAAAACATAACCCTGGAGTCAAAAACAACACCTTAACATCTTTAACTTGACTTATTAGTTCCATTTATTATATAATTAAACATATTAATGTTAATCTTTCTCGAATAGGTAAGCCCATTACACTTAGAAACATTAAGACCCAATCGATTAACCAGACACCAATCTAATATTAATGTTACTCCGAAGCAATAAGCTAAAGTTAATCTTGGAATTAATTGAGTGATATATTTTTTAGTCGTCAGAGTAATCATTTATGAGTTTATGAGTTAGCAGTCAGTTCATCGATAAAAAGAAAAAAAAGTAGAAGCCCTAAATTAGACTCTTGACCTTTGTTATTATTGTCTGTTGACCGTAACCAGTTTCATATTCTTAAATTGGCCGCTCCTTCACCTATCTAATTAAGAGACTTGTCAACCCTATATTTATTAAAAGAGTTGGTAAGATTACACGAACCCCTTTTTTCTCTTCTTTGTAATATTCACATTAGTGCAAATTTTTATATTAATTTTCAATCGGCTAAGTATTTGTTTACGTTCAATATTTTCTTCTTCTGCTTCATTGCTTTGAATAAAGCATTTGCGTCTGCGTTACTTGTAGAAAGGCAAATGTCGGATCTTCTGTTATGCTCAGAGCCGACTTTTATTTGTGCTTGCGGATCGGACGCGGAGTTACGCGGTGATTAATGACGCAACAATAAACCTATTTGCGCCCCGCGGTAGGACCCACAATGGGTTGGCACGGTAGGTGTCGCTTCTTCTCCAATCGAACAAATGACTATCGCCACCTTAATTGCGCGCACAATTCAATTTACAGTTGCCGAGGAAGCCCGAAAGATTGCACTTCCGTGCAATTTATCGCCACCTTGCCGCAATATGCGGTACGGATTTGTTGGCATTGCGATTTGCCTCGCGTCAGGGGTGCCACAATCGTACGAACTAAGAGCTTTTTTTTTTCGTATTTTTCTGATATCGCTATTACGCAATGAAGTTTTTGTAAACTCACGACGACGGAGAGTGAGAGCATGGAGGTCGATGAGGCTCTTTTAAATATTTTCAGTTTATTTGTTTGTTTTTGAACTTATTTAAATGCATTCACTAATACGAGCCCTACCAAGTATATGTTGAAATATTTACTTTTTTAAATTGTAAATATGAAATGAACCACATTTTTTATGATGTTTATTTTTACGGTTTAAGTATATATTTTATTTTAACTACCATTAAATTAAAATGTAATTAAATTAACTATTAAATTTAATTTAATTTAATTAATTACTAAATTTAAATTAAATTTGGTATAAACTACTGGTAGCAAAATATTTGAACAAGGGCTTTTTAACAGAATTAAATCAAAATTAATAAGGCGTAATGTCGTACTTTCACAGAATTCAGGGGAGAAATCATCCCATATTTCTTGCAATTCAGCACGTTGACGATAATTTTTAGTAGTTGTTTAATTTTGTGACAAAGTGTCTCTATTAGATTGAAATCGGGAATGCTTGATGGATGTGACAAAACTTTAATGTAATGTTGTCCCATTCATTTTTTGGTAGATTTAGATCCGATTTTTTGACCGACATACAGGCTTATACTGTTCCTATTCCTATTCTAGCTGCGTTGAGTCTCTGTCCTTTAGAGCTAGGGCAATGCTTTCTCAGACCCTTCCATCCATTATGTCTATGCCTACACGTCTTCGCTGTCGCTCTTATAAAAATCCCGAATACATCCTTTCTCTTAACTGGCTGCCCCCTAGTGGTGCGCAGCGGATTAGGAAATGAATTGGATTTTACTTCTCTTCTAAACACAGTTTGGATGTGATGTTGTCACCCACCCCCCTGCCATGATATTCTATGGAAACTTTACAGCCCTTTTGAGACAATTCTTATCAAATGTTTCTGTTTTTTCCCCAATCACAGGCGTTGTTCCAGTTAGTTTTGGCCCACAAAAAATTTATTTTGGTGTAAATGTAACGATTTCTTTTTTGAGTTCCCGTCAACAATATTTTTTCTTTACTTATTCCTATGTCAGAAAATAAAAATTTGAACGTTGAATATATTTGCGACAGCATTCCCTGTAAACGAAAATCTCAGTTTCAAATGACTGTTTTAGTCATATCGCTATTAGATGAAATTCATTCTCCTCAGATGGATAGGATATTTTCGTAGAAAAGGAATGATGGAAGTTTCAACCAGTAACCTGCACTTTACACCATCTTCTTTCTAGACGGTGATATCCGCATACTTAACTACTTTTTGCCTGAAAATTTAATGGGATCTGAGAAAATACTGTCAGCGGCCATGTTGGTTATTGAATGCCGCATGGTCTTGTTGGTAAAAAATTGAAATTTGCAATTACAGGTGCCATTGGTTAAAACAAGCGTGCACATGTTGAATGGACCTTATCAAAAATTTTTTCATAGTTGCTTCATAAGTTCATATGTCTTATGTTACCAGCTCTAGTAGCTATATGGTTCTTACTAGTACTTTGAGAAACAGCTTTTGAAAAGGCTGAACTTTTACCGCGACAGTTGACAGTTTTACCGTATTTCGTAATTATATTAAAAACAGTAGTGGTTACTAGAGCCTATTCACTGGAAACATCATGCATCGTTTTCCCTTTATGGTACTGGTTAATAATAATTTGTCGCATATTTGGGTGAGTAGATGTTCCACGTGCCGGTATTGCCAACCCGTTTGTTTCATTTAAAAGCTTAATTCGCATTAGGCTGATAGAACGTAAGAAATGCGAGGAACGGCAAAATATATTCCATAATATAGAGTTGTCAGAATTTTTGAATTTAATCGATTAATTTAATAATAATCACCATAAAATATATAATTAAACCGTAAAAACAATTGCGTACATCATGAAAAATGTTTTTAATTTTATATTTACAATGATAAAATTAAATAAAAGACTTTCATTAAATCGGAAATACTTTCTCAATCACGACTTCCCTAGAAAGAAATCCAAATATTTAGGAACTTTTCTCTAACGGATAATACTGGGCTAGTACAGATTCGATTTAAAAAGGGAAATTTTTTGTATGCTATAAGGTTACAGCTGTAGAATGCTTTTATTTGGAAATCTGATAAGCTCTTATTCTAATGATATCAGTGCTCATAAGTGCTTCATACTATCTTATTATTGGTTGGTTCACTTACTAGTTAGGAATTGGGTTGATAATCTTGTTCATAGCTAATTCGCCGCAATTTTCCATAGGTTTCCAGATAAATCCGAAACCTTGCATGGTGGATGGTCAAGAGGGCACCTGCATGTTTGTGTACGAATGCATCAAGTCCGAGGGTTACCACATAGGCATGTGCGTCGACGCCTTCATGTTCGGATCTTGCTGCGCACACAACTTGACAGCAAACTCCGTCACGTCATATGAAGCTCAAGCGAAACCTCAAGTCCTATACACTGCTCCTAGTCAAAGTAGCACAGTCACTAATAAGCCAGTCGTAGCGTCGTTTAGTCAATTTGCTAGTAGTATAACCAAACCGCCAAGGTAAGTCATCTTCAGTCGCGTCTCTTCCGATGAAGGAAAAATCAACTTTCACGGATTATTATTTAATATACACATACACCCACATCAATCATGTTTATTTAAATACTCTATTTTTAACAAATCAATTAACTCTAAAACCTTACTCTCCCTTAATCCCCCGAACATAAGATACTTCAATGTTTCCATTAGTTTACATGATGAGAAATTTTTGCTCTCTTTCATTTCTTTATCAATCATTATCTTTCTAGTTATTGTGACATACATTTTAGATAAAAAATTAGAGAAATCGATTGCTCTACAGTTGGTGCAATTGTTTCGATCTGAATTGTAAACGTAACTAGTAATCTTTTCCGGAATACTCTTTTATCTGAGGGAAGAAAATATATGGTTCACTTTGTAGAGGCTCAATTGGAATTTATTTTTTATAGCAGCAACATAGTTTTAACTTCATCTGGTTTAATAAACAATACAATTACAATTCATGATTTACTTTGTCACTTCCATTTAGAAAACAACAAGCTCTTGGCTCTTGGCAGCCCTTTCTAAACTCTCTAATAGAATATGACTCTGAACTATGACGTCTTCAATCCTGCGTTTGTATATAACTTTCCAGGCGGTTCGTCACACGTTTCCACCTTTGACAATACATTTTGCATTTCACGTCCCAACTGGCACTAGAATAGCAGCGAGCCATAGCTTAAGCATCAACTGTGATCAATCTGATCAAGGAATACTTACTCCTCGGAACAATTGATAAAGCGAAGCTTTTAAATATTGTTAAACCGCTATACGCTCGTATATAGGCTTGATGAAGGACAGCATTCTGTCTAGTAAAATATACAATGGGCCTGTTAAGGCTTAAGTGCTAGGGAGCAAACCGCCCTGCCCAATTTACGATTTTCAGTGGTAGCAAATTGATCACATGTATTATGATCAAACAAACATGAATGAAAAAGCAACGCGACCCGCAGCCTATATAATACAAATACCAAAAAACTTAATAAAAAATAAAAATAAAAAGAAACGGTATTCCTACTGGAAGTCTGGAGTCGTGATAGTAATAGGTATCGTTTACAATCTAGGAGATCAAGTTATCGTTGTTCTGTGACCGATGCCGTTCCGCGTCTAAACGACAAGACGAGCGCATACAAAAACGTGTGTAAATTCAGCTATGGCACAAAATCTAAATTTCTTATTAGAGTTATTCGAACGTAAAAGAACCGTTGGGAGATGAATTATTAGTTTGCGCGCAGTCAATTATAACTGGTCCCATTCAATAATAATTATTCATCCGCCTTTTTTGTCGGTGCAAAAGCGATCTCGTTTTATTCTGATACCGCAGTTATTAATAATCGCATGGAAACATTGTTTATGCATTGGCGAGTACGTATACTTGATGTGTAAAGCGACTACCTTACAACGCATGCCAGCTAGCTAGATGTATTTATGGATGTCGTTGCCATTTTTGTTTTGCCTAAGGAAATTCTATTGGTGAGAGAAATTTCGAGGAGCTCTCGTAATATGTTATTAACAATGAAAAAATTACATATTTCTAAACACCTCGCAGATTATATTAATGTTAATTTAACAGCTGCAGTTATGTGTTTAAGGAGGGTCTTCGTTAAATCTATGATGGCGTCAAATGCCAGAAAATGAGTCTCGCTCTTATGTCTGTTATACAGAGTTAGTAAAAAGTTCAAAAACCCTTAAATATCTCCAAAACTGCCAAGGATAAACGATAAAATTCCGTCCAATTTTTGAATATGTAGAGTTCAAAAATGATAACACCAATGTTGTTAGATTTACCATTTTTGCGTTACTCAGTCAGGATTTTATTATTTGAAACGGAATGCCCTCTTTATTTTTGTTGCAATGAATTGCGCAATTCGAATTTTGTAAAGTGTCATAATTTCAAAATTTTGTTTCTGTTAATTACTGAATTACGGAAACACTGCTTTTTTAGTAAAAGTACGAAACGCTATAATAATATCCCCAAAACTGTCAGAACTGGATGGATAAAATTTAATACGTGGAAGTTTTTGAACATGCAGAAATCAAAAATGTTAACAGCTGTGTTGTCAGATTTACAAATCTACAGATTAAATTTTTAACATCTCAAAATTTTGAAGGTTTTGGACAAAGGATACTTTAAATCTTCCAAAATTCTCAGGTATAGAATTTTATTTTTTCAAAGAAGGTTCCACAGGCAACTGTAAAAAACAGACGCAGGAGGAATCCAGAAGTTTTGTAAAAACTATTGAATTTTATCTTTCTAGTTATATTATTATTAAAACCGATAAAATCACCAACATTTTCTTTAAATAGATAGGTATTTCTATTTAGTTAATCGACGTTTAACAGTTTTTGATCTTGTAAAATTATATATGATTAATATTCTTTTGGACGGCGATACTCAAAACTGCAAAAATAATTTAATAAAAAATTGTTACAAAATCATAATAAATTCTGTAAATTTTCATAGCCGTCCTCAAACGAACCAAAGGCGAAATGAAACTGCCGTTACAGCCAGGCCAGCATTGGTGGCGGCATCTATGGGCGTGAGGCCGAGTTCCTCGAGGCAACCTACTCAGCCTCCTAGACATAGCATCCGGCCGATGAGCACAGATGCCTTTTCAGCTTCCAATAGCATCTCGTTAGGTGAGTTGAGTCAGTCGTTGGCCAGCTCGAGCCACTGATACTTTCGCGATCATAATAAAGGAATTATCAAAATATATGTGATGAACGTTTTAAAACTGTATTTGCCTTAATCAGACGCATTGACGCAGAATAACAGGATAACGCGTTTTTTGTAATAATAATTGTATCTGTTTAAAGTTTAAAGATATCTCAAATTTTTGGTTATTTATTTCAATTTAAATTATATTGTAAGCTGATTGAAAAAAGCCAAATTGATGCAAACAATGAAAATTGTAACCACACAGTACAAATAAAAAAATGCTAAACTGTCCCAAGTAGCATAACGGTCTTACTAAATGTGAATCCATTAATTTCAAATTAAGAAAAAGAAAAAATATACCAATATCTTCTTCTCTAAATTAAGTAAAATCTTAATACAAAAAAGACCCACCATCTCTTCCTTTCTAGATTTGCTGAAACTACAGAATTTGTTGTAATCGTTACATATAGACCCATACTAATTTTTTTGGACCTATCATGGCGGCAACCGCCATTGTGTTTCTATTGTTTCACTTAAATAAGTAAGCCGGTCTTCTTCTCTAAATTAAGTAATATCTTAATAGAAAAAAGGCCCACCATCTCTTCCTTTCTAGATTTGCCGAAACTACAGAATTTGTTGTAATCGTTACATATAGACCCATACTAATTTTTTTGGACCTATCATGGCGGCAACCACCGTTGTGTTTCTATTGTTTCACTTAAATAAGTAAGCCGGTAATCAGATTATCTTATCTCATTTAATTCTAAAACTCTCCGACTAAAAGACCGAGAATTCATCGAGGAAACTTTTGCAAGAGTTAGAAACTCGGAAGTAAGTTTTCCTTTCTTAAAATTAACTTGCGCCTATTATTTTTCTTTTTTTAACAAGTCCACGGTATTCATTCTTGGGTCCCTTAGAAAATGTCATATTCTACGGTCAGTTTCAAGAACATTTTATTGTTTCTTTATCGATGGATCTATTTAATGAGTTTGTTTTTATCAACTTATTTCTAACTTTAAAAATATCTGGTGGTTTTTATATCATATCAAATATCAATATTTGCATATCTTTGTTATATCACTTCTTTACACAATTTTATTCTGTCATATCCATGTTATTGTCCCCTACTATACTAATTTGCTTCGAAAATATTTTTGACTGCAGATGAACAGTTTTAAATTTAGCATAAAATATAGAATTGAAATATAAGGATTAAAATGTCAAGATTAAAATTAAATTAAAAAAAATAATATTAAAATTTTAATATTAGTTAAAATATGTTTTAAAATAATGGGTGAATGTCTTCGTGCTGTTTAGCAAAATGGCACCTAAAAAGTAACATTACTTAAAGCTGTGATATTATTTCATGTCAACGAATAAATGCAAATGCAAACACCTAAGATCACAAGCATCAAAAATCAATTTTTATAACAGGAAAATGCCAAAAAAACAATTATTTGGGTTAAATGTTTGAGCCTAGAATCCTACAGTTAAAATATTGTCAAATTATTCCTTTATTATTATTATTATTATTATTATTATTATTATTATTATTATTAATCGGTTTTAACCATTCTCTGTGTTAAACGGTGTTAAACCTACAGTGACACTCTAATTATGTATTTATTAAGCGTATGGCTTTAAGGCACAATCTCAATAAAAAATTATACAATACAATTGAGATAACAAATACAATTTAAAACAAAAAATTCTGATTTCGTTAAAATGTGCAACTTTTCTAAATTTTGAGGTCGAATTTTTTTTTGTTTTAAATTGGGAGGGTTCATTTCTTTTGTTTTCTTTTTAAAAGATGTTCAAAGTATCGGTGCAAAATCATAACAAAATTAATTACATCTCAAAAAAGAAAATCCTATTTCCGGTTCCATATTTTATCTGTATATTTTTATTAACTACGTCGCATATTAAGGCTTTACTGAGATTATCGAAAAAATGGCTATTAAATATTAGGTACGGATTTTAATTGCTCTTTTCGATCCCACTTCGTGCACTAGTGGATCGGTAACGCTATGAATACTAACGACTCGCCCAACTGTGTAATAATTCGCAATATTGATTATAATTGCATTTCGAGGAAATTTTGCATCGACGTTTAAAAGCCCAAGGACAATGCTCCCATAAAATGTACTTCAAACATTTTTGGATGTCAAAAGGGAGCACGTAAAAACCTCCGTTATGGTGGCATTAACAACTGGGAAGAATCCGGTTCAAATGTATTAGATTTTTTAATACATACTTGTTTTGTACTAAAATTTTTAGTACAGTGTGTCTCATTTCTGCTGGCACGTTTCGGCTTTCGTGGCCCCATACAAATTCTTTTTAAATGAAATGTCATGGCCACCTTGAATTGTTGATACAGGTTGACTTTGGAAATTTGGTTTTTTACGTAGTGTTTAGTGGCGTGGTCAGTTTGCTGTCAAAATAATCTTGCGTGTGTCTGTATATGAGATGCGGATGCGCACTTTTATTATATAAAATTTCTCATAACTGTCATAGTTTGACACCTTGTTCCATGGCCTACCCATAAAAAAAAACATTAGTTTACATTAAAATACTTAAGGTGTTCGATTAAAAAAAACACTAGTTTGGTTCACATATCAAGAAAAGTTTTTGCTTTTTGCATAACGGAGCTGCAAAGAGTGTCTGTGTCCGAGATAGTTGTGACATTTCTGTTTGTGCCAAATTTCAATTAATGAAAAAGTATCAGTTGTTAATAAGGTAGATACACAGTGAAATCATAAAAAGTGTGTGATTAATATTAGGACACTAGATAAAAAATAAAGATGCTACTATTTTGTCGATGTAGATCTATAGGCCCATGAAAAGGAATTTTGTGTTTCCTAAGTATCCAAGTTGGTTATGAGTAGAGACTTACAAATAAAAAACAGAATCCTCTTCCCTGAGTTGGGATACTAGGAAACTAGGTTATCCAAAATTAATATTGAATCTGTCAAAATGACTCTTGTTTTTGAATAAAGGGACTGATTTCTTTTTTATGTTTCATTTATTTCGGATTTCTGAAATATTGGTGCAAAATTTTGGTTAGTTTTGATTTAATTTCTTCCACTTTCCAGAGGTCCTGTATAAATATAAAAAAAAAATTTCCTCTAATAAAATTATCTCTGTATCCTAAAAAGGAGTATATCTAAAGGAATAATATATTCAGATATCTCTATTTAAAATAATTAACCTGGCACAACTTTGAAAGTAAGTTTAATGCCGAATTGTCTTGCTAATTTGCTTATTTTTTAAAATTATTTTTTGACTTGCAACTTTCAGTTGTTTGTCTTTAATTTGAATTGCTTTTTTGTGGTACGGCAGCGCATCACCCTCGACCGGATCGTCAAACAACCACCGAGGCCGGTTTCATAACGTCGATTACTGAACAAATTTCAGTGCATCAGCAAAATAGTCCCGGAAACAACTGGCAGCTCACGCCGGAGTCGGAGCTTTCGAACAGGATTAAAAAGCCGTCCACGTTCAAGCCCAAACCGAACAAACCATCGAAAAAGCCTCTACCGAACAATAGCAAGAATCCGACTAAATACCCTGCGCAAAAGCCAACAAAGTCGACCACGGAAAGGGGGTACGTATAACCCCACCCTTACCCGTCCGGTTTTCCTCTGCTTGCTGTGAATGGGGCCTTGAAGTTTGTTTATACGATTGAGGTATTTGCGTAGTTGGAAACAAAACAACCTGTCTCTAACTAAGCTAGGTTGTACACACAATGGCTTAACAAAAATTGTCGTTTTTTCAACTGATATACTAAGCGTGGTGGTTCCCTTGAGCTAGCTTTCATAACTGTCAGAAATAAAAAATGAGAGTGTTGCTTCTCTTATTTGTTGATGTTTATTTTACGTCCTATATAATTGTTATTATTATGCACTCGATTGGATGATACCAAACAGTTTAAAGAAATGTGATTGAGCTTTTACAAATGAAGTTAGAAAGTTAATTAAATTAAAAAAACATCTTTAACAAAAATCTAGCTTGAAAATCTTTTTTCATCTCAGATATTGAAATAATCTGGGTACAGAGCTATTTAAACTTTAAAAACTTATTTAACAAAGATACCTCAAATATTCAAAAAATTAGATGCAGAAAAATGTAAGCAAAATATCAAAAACTATTCCAGAAGACAATTAAAAAATATTTAACATAAACATATTCCTATTTTAGAATAGTTGGAATGTTAAAATCAAAGCAATAAAGAATAAAAAATTGTTTTTTTAATCTTTGTGAAAGAAATGCACTTTCGGAATTTATTAATTTGATCGAGGAATATTAGTAATAGTAAGCAGTGCTCCAATATGTTTACTAGTTCCCTAATTTTAAAATATTTTTAATCAATCAATCAACGAAATTGCTTTTCTAACCTCTAAACGGCTGTTTACCTAGAATACCCTATATATTTTCCTTTCTACAGCATACTGTTATTCTAATTTTTGACAAAAAGGGTAGGTCAGCAGCAAAGTTCAAAATAGTTTGCCCGTTTGCTCTCAAATGCCTCCTTTTTGCAGTAATTTGTTTTATCTGCTGAAATTGTAGTTAATCCTATACTGAACAATAATTGCTAAGGCCATCGCAATGGCGCGACACAAGGGACGTGTAATAAAAAAGAATGGCCAAAGGGCATTCTCATTACCCTATATATCGTTAATTTTCCAACGCATCGAGTGAAACAAAAACTACCGGAAAAGCGAATTTGAAAATGGTGTATCAGCTTTGTCCAATCTGTGCCGCTAGAATTGTTGGCAATCGCGATGCCAAATCCACTGTTATTGCTCTACATAAATCTCCTTTTTATTGGGTGCTCGGAGGAAGAGATCCGCAGTTTTGTTTTGCAATATTGCCCGTATTTTGATACGCAATATTCGAAAAATTTCAATTAAAACATGACAAATTTCGACTTATTCAGAGCGCGAAAATTTTCGAAAATTAGGTAATTAAAAGTCTAAATAAAATAAAAGAAAATTCAGTGACAAAATGAACTATACTATATTTTAGATACCTGAATACTTATGATATCTCCTTAAATTTTCCAACACCAGCGGAACAAAAGTTTGTTTTGTTTTTATCATTTTTTTATACATCTATTTCAGTCCAACGGAAATAATGAAGCCCATTATGAGCACCTTGGGATTGGGCCACAACGGTCTTGACTTGCTGGAGGACACCTCCACTAACCCTCTCAACAATACAAGAATTGCTAAAGTTGGTAAGTCCAAAATAAAATTGCGCAAAATAGCCAAAATCTAAGAAATCGGTTAAATTTTTAAAAAATCCTAAAAATTTGAAGAGAGTAATTTTATTTAATATGTTAAAAAGTTTATGGCAATCCCATAGATTACAAATATTTTTACGCTGTTGGAAAAAGCTTTATGCTGGCATTACAAATTCGCAATTTATTTAAAAATTTCACATATTTCTTTTGGGCATGCTATACAGTTATACTTACACCCACATCATTCAGAATAAAAGGTTTTAAGAGATCAGTGCTCTTTGTAATATCACAGCAGCATATCATTGTCATTTTCAATTTTAATTGAATTATTATCCTTTTCAGTAGCCATTTACTTTCCTTAAATTACTTAATTTGATAGATTTTGTTATGTATAACAAGTTAAGAATTGTTTATTAATGATAATTTTCCAAGTTTCTCTTTAATATATTTACATAAACATAACGAGACAGACGATTTAAGATACGTAATGTTGTTGCTTCATTTGAAAAACTTTAAAGTTTAAACGAAATTTTACATAAGTAGGGAAAATATTAATATTCATAACAAAATAACTGAAGGTTTTAAAAATGGGTGCATATGTAAGTTTTGAAACTGCTAGGTTCAAAACCAATGTCAATTTGTTGTATATAAATACAAACTCTTTAGCAAAACCATTTACGTGCATAATTGCAAATTTTCTTTACATTCTCTTAGGGTTTCTAATTTTATCCTCCAGTACTGGATTTGCTTTTCTGTCAGCTCTTGTTCTACCTCCCCCTTCCATCTTACTCTGGGTCTGCCTCTTTTCTTATTAGCTTCAGTAACTTTTCACGCAATTGTTTTAATTATTCTCATTTATTCCACGCAGCTACCTATTAAAGCATCAAAATCTCCAATCCTTGTTTTTTTTTATGAGTCAACATCTGAGTCTTACCATTTGTTTTCTGTGTTTTTATTTTTACTTTTCGTCATACTTCTTCGTTCTTTAAGATTCTTCTCAATCTGCCAGGGCAGCTGTTGCTTTTTGCTATTTTACTTCCTTTTGTTATGTATCAGCACCACTAGATTGCGTAGAATTCTGCTGGTGGTCCGGTTGACTTTCGTACTTTGCGTGGTGGCTTTTATTAGGTAGTATCCTTTGCTCCTGCGTAGTACAATCTCCAGAACCAAGTTAAGGAGGAACGTGGACAAGAAGTCGTGTTATTTTACGCCTCAAAACTTTCACTTGTCTTGTCTCTGAAGCGATAGTAGACAATCGATAAGCATGACTTCGTTTGAAATTCGTATTTGGAAGGATTGCGGAGACATATTTCTCTGTACGTTTGCTGCCGCGGTGTACCGCAAATTTATTGCATGTGGTTTAAACACGTTTAGCTTTTTAGAGAAGGGGAAATAAAAATTTAACAACTCGCATCGTAAAACCCCCGGAAGACCGTTACGGGAGTCGTAACCTGTTTTTTATTTCCCCCTTTTCTGAATCTATATATACGATTTTATAGACAGAACCGAGTCGTGCTGGCCCAAACCACTTTGTTTCACTACTTCGCTTTCGATTAATATTCGTCGCGTCGATAGATTCAGAAAAGGGAGATTTCAAACCCCCGCCGGCATCGTAAACTTTACTAAATTAAATCCTGTTTTTCTTTTTGAAGGCACTCGTCGGGATTCCGCAGTAACCTCGTACGGCCTCTAATAAACTAACACAAAGTGGTTTGGACAGGCAACCCCCGACTCTATCCAGTGAGTATTCGTGATAAGGACCGCATCGGGACCAATTTATTTCGATAACTTTGTTCCCCCGGGGTGCGGATAAATTCCTGTGTCGAGATCCATTCGGCCGTCACTTTGTTCCGCGTGTCGCTCCGATGGTTTTCTACCTCTGCCGTACGGAGGGCCCATTTTGGATACTTTTGCGAGGCATTTATTTGCGTTGTTTTAAAAAATAAAAAATCGCGGATTTCGCGGAAAAATAAATAGTCCGTATATCGAAACTCTTTTAGCTTTTGAGATACAGGATAATTTTGATTTGAGGAGACAACAAGTAAGAATAACCCAAAAATGCAGGCGGATATTAAAGAAAATAGTCTGGGCATAGCACAAGATAGTATTCTGGGTCCAATTTTATTTATCATTTTTGTGAATGACTTGTATTTCGTAACACAGCCAGGAGACCTGGCAACCTGCTTGTAGGTGGAAATAATCTGACTGAAGTTAGTGATAAAGGCAACGATATTTTTACAAGGACTTATGACTGGTTTCTAGAAAATAAATTGATATTTAACAAAGAGAAAACGAATTTAATTATGTTTAGAACTAAATTATGTAGAGATGAAATACCATTGGGAATAGGGATAGGTAAAGAAAATATTAGTATTGTAAGTAGCACTAAATTTAGGTTTACAAATTGACGAATTTCTTGATTGGTCTGAACATATTGATTATCTGCCAAATTATTGGAAATTATATGAATAACGAAACTTTAAAAATTATGGACTTTGCAAACTTTCAGTTGGGCGTGAAGTATGGAATTATCTTTTGGGGGGGTAGTGGTCAACTACAGAAAATTTTCGTGGTTGAAAAGAGGGCTCTTCGCACTGTCAAAAAAATGCAATTTAGAGAGAACTGTAGAGGGGTGTTCAAGGCTAAAGGTATTTTTACTGTATATGCTTTATATATTTATGAAGCATTGATATTCTTTTTTAAAAATCGTAACCGTAACTGAAAGGAGTCCTTATTACATGTGCCTGAGATTGTATAATAAATTACCAAATGAGGTAAAAAACAATTGGAAATCTAAAAATATTTAAATACACAATAAAAAAGTTATTGAGATAGTTATAACCTTACTCCATAGAAGATTTTTTCTGTAATATTTCAATAATTGTTTAATTAATACGATGTAATTGAAATTTGTAACAATATCTAGCTCTTTTTCCTTTTTTGACGCCGATTTCCTTTGTGTTTGGACTATTATTTTTAGGTAATGCATTTATGATACAATGTGAAATATATTTGATTATTATTATTATAAGATATACATTTGGTGTATAAGTCAAAAACGGCAAATAATCTTCTCTATTCATCGGAAAAAATATATGAGAATGTTTTTTAAATGTCAATACTTTTAAAATAAATGAAACACGTTTTTCAAAACCGCCCTGTGTCTCAAAAACTAAGTCGTACATGGAGGTTTTGTATACGACATCTTTAATTTCACGGAAAACCGCAACTCTTTATCTTCAATAATAAAAGAATGTCTAAAGAGGAATTGCGAAACATCTAAATTTGGTTTTAAGATTGCTTTTAAAACTGAAAACACCATTGGAAAATTAAAAAAAAAAAAAACAATAAAACTAAATCACGAAAAATTAAAAAATCCGGAGTCTACAAGTTGAAATGTGGATCGTATCCCAAAATTTATAGAACATTTAAAAAATTCATTAACTAACATGAAAGAGCGTATAAAAATAAAAGTTTGGATTCTAACTATGCCATTCATTTAAATTCAGAAATATACAATACACCTGAACTCAAAAGAAAAATATTATTCTACAAACAAACAATCAATCAAATAAATGATGTATAGAGTGACAGATTGCACCACATTCGCATAAAAAAAACTTATTACAACAAAGTTAGCACCAATATTTAGTTGTTTTGCCATATTATTAAAAACAATTGCCTTTAAACTTAGATATGTTATCAAAAATTCGTTCGGACTAATCAACAAGGTTAAAGATATTAAAATTCCTCCTAGTTTCCTTTTCCATTTCCAAAATCTATGTCCTAGCATTCCACCGATTGACATAATAAATATAATAGACAATGTTCTTAATCAAGTCAACCCTATCGTAAAACAAGACTTGTTAGATAGTTTAATAGATTGTGAATTTTATATTGCTAAAGAAGGAATAATTATGGGAAATCCAATTAGTACACTACTTGCAGATTTTTATGGACAATGTAGAAAATATCATACAAAAACATCCTCTGGGTGAAATATTTATTTGGTACATAGATAATGTTTCTGCTTATTTCACTGGAACGGAAAGACTAATGTAGTCCTTTTTGAATCACATTAACTATATACATAAGCGTATAAAATTTACCACAGAGACGGAATTAAATAACTCTTTAAACTTGCTAGTCGTAACTATAACTAAATTGCAGAACAAATTAGATTTTTCTATTTACCATAAATCCTCACGCACAGTAATTTATAATATCTTAAATCACCCTCACATGCACAAAATGACTGCCTTTTATTCTTTGATCCACAGACTACTTAATATACCACTTTCCACAGAAAATTATGAAAAATAATTAAATATTATAAAACAAATTGCAGTGGTTACGAACCTTCTTTGATAGATGAGATTATAACTGAAAAACAGTTTCAAACAACTGGAAACTCTATCAATTAATACCCACCCCAAAATTTGTAAAACAATAAAATACATAGGAGAATCTAGTAATGAAATTACGAAACATCTATCTAAATTTGGTCTTTGAAACTGAAAACACCATTGAAAAATTAAAAAAAAAAAACAATAAGATAAATCACGAAAAACTCAAAAATCCGGAGTCATTAACTAACATGAAAGAGCGTATAAAAATAAAAGTTTGGATTCTAACTATGCAATCCATTTAAATTCAGAAATACACAATTTTGACGATAATTTTGATATTTTACATAATGAAACAAAAAGCAAAAAACTAAATTTGTTGGAAGCTATGGAGATTAGTAAAATGATATTGATATATTAATAAAATAATATCCGAATCTATTACATAATGACCAGTTGGATTTAAATGCTTTTCCATTGTAAAATTTAAATTTATAACCCTAGGCCGTTAATTAATTTAATTTATTACTAATTGTTTATTACTAAATGTTTAATTTATGACTAAATGTTTAAAATTTATTACTAAATGTTTATAAATGTAGGTGTCGTGTCATATGGTGTATTTGATAAAGCACATACCTTTGAAAATCTTAACATTTTTTGTTCTTATTTAATTGTATAACAAAAAGATGAACCAAGGCTAATTTTTTGTTATACTAACAAATATAGGATTTATAAAATCGGAGAACATTCAGCAGATAATGGATTACTGATTTTAAATTATTCTTACGAATGTGATCCAACTAATTCACGTTTTTCAAACACAAAAAAAAACAATTAAAATTAGAAATCACTTCAATTTTCTGACATTGCCATTGGAAGCATGTACAAAATATCACACCTATTTCACACCAACCCTTTAATCTGGCGTGTCGAATATTATTTTTATTGTCGATTCATTGCCCATTTGGACATAAGATCATGTTTTTCACATTCCAGTATGGTAGTTAACCAAGGTATTTGAGATAAGACTTTTTCGGCACAAGAACTGGTCATAAAATTGGATACCCTTTTCGAGGCACACCTGGTGCTGTATAATTCACGCCGCGGGCCTTAGATAAACAGCACTTTACAGGAGCGCCACTTTTAATGCACCCCAACAGAATAACAACCCGGTGAATCGACTCGGCACAAAAATAAAATCCCAATTTATCTCCACTCGCGAATGTATCGAGTCCCATTTGTCAAACTCTAAAGTGTGAAAAATTCTCGTTATCTGCAGGGTGCGGTACGCCTCAGATGTTCACCCAGGCCAAGACGAGGATCGTCGGTGGGAAGAACGCGAATTTCGGAAGATGGCCTTGGCAGGTAATCTTGAAATATTGTTTTCGAGGCGTTTTCGGTTTTGTTTCCGCACATTCACGCACATTTGAATAAGACAGGACATTTATGAGGGCACGTCAGCCGACAAATTTTTAATTTAAATATCTTAGTCGATCTCAATAAGTTCAAATTTTAAAGTATTTGTATAAAAATAAAACATAAAAGTTCTTTAATTGTAACGTTTGCGTAATAGAAAGTGATCTTGCCGTAGGGTGTAATATAACAATCTACAGAGTGTCCATACGTTATCTTGACTTCAATGGAATTTGAATATTCTGTGTAGATCGCAGAGGCGCATGAAACCATACTACAGTAGATGTTTTACATCGTCAGCGAAGTCAGGAACGGATCTCGCCAAAATTTTGACAGGCGTTATGTTACAGACCTGAAAATTGATTTTTACATATACATTTGTACGAGCGGAGAAGGTGCCTAATAAACGAGTGATTAAAGAAGTTTATCAACAATTTCCATACTATAGTTTTCCTTCTAGCATTAGTTTTTGGGTATATTTTTGCAAAATCGTATGATTACATTCATTTAGCTACATGTGATAAGCGACCCCCCCCCTTCCAACCCTGATTAGTACCAGAAATGTGACTACTTACTATGGGTAACGAAGCTGACCTCTTATACTGCCTCTTTCTGCTGTGTGCATAATTGAGTATTTTAGAATAGAGCTTACAAATATAAATTGCATTTAACGGGGGGATGTATCAGAATTGATTCTTCTTCTCAATACAACTTTATCGAGTGCATAAGTCAAAGCAGAAAAGGTAGATCGCTCAGTGCCATTTGAGGCCTTAGATATCTACGGTTAAGAGGTACTTTGAGACTCTCTTTTTATACAACAAACTTGGATTTTTTTGACCTATCATACGTTACCTAAAATATGCCATATACACTCACCAAACACCCTGTTTATAATATCGAAAAGAACAAAAAAAATTACGCTTTTGTTGATGACTGTCAAAACGTACAAGGTTCTGATAAAATAATTATAAACCAATCATCAAAACACTCGAAAAAAAGTCTGTTGATTAATATGATTTTCCAAATTTTCACTAAATTTTATAATTATTTTTGCTACATAACATATTGAATTGATTAATGATATATCAATATCTAGGCTTACCAAATTAAAAAACGGCAGGTTAGTCAATTAGTTTTGGCGGGTGGTTAATGATTATGTAAACTCAGTATTAAATTTTAAAAAATTCATACTGGGTTTGTATTCATATTCATAAAACAAATTGTGAAAATTCGTTTTTCCCTTGACTCGGTGCTATATCATATTGTTGAGAAGTTTAAGGTGAACATAATCGACGGGCTTTTCGTTCCTTTATTAATTCGATGTATAAGGGTCTATAAAAGCGTAGGCCAACTTCCAGCAATATCCTTTTGCAGGTTTCTGTAAGAAGAACTTCATTCTTCGGCTTCTCGAGCACACACAGGTGCGGGGGCGCCATATTAAATGAAAATTGGATCGCCACCGCAGGACACTGCGTTGATGAGTAAGGAAATATCATGCATATATTCCTCATTTTTTATTACCCATTTCAAATAAAGTCATTAGGAAAATAATATATATTTTGATATGTTTTGATAACAAATGTTCCCTTAAGTGTAAGTACGGTTTAAGTCAAGTGTTTTAAATTTTAGGTGAACACTTTCTTTAAACCTATATTATTATTTTTATCGTTATTACTGACCTATTGTTAATTTTCTTAAAATTTCAAAGGTGTTTGAAAAGCATAATATAATATAATAGTGTACCGATTATTTTGAAGGCGACATTTTGAGATGCGTTCTTAATTCTAAGTTTTTGTTTTTCCCAGTTTATTGACCTCTCAGATTAGGATACGCGTGGGCGAATACGACTTCTCGAGCGTGCAAGAAGAGCTGCCCTACGTTGAGAGGGCCGTCGCCAAGAAAGTGGTGCATCCCAAGTATAATTTTTTCACGTACGAGTATGACCTCGCTCTGGTGCAGCTCGACAAGCACTTGGACTTCGCACCCCACATTTCTCCCATTTGCCTGCCGCCATCGGACGACCTGCTTATCGGAGAGAACGCCACCGTTACGGGTTGGGGTCGTCTCAGCGAAGGGGGCACGCTACCCTCGGTACTTCAGGAGGTAAGGGCTGTTTTTGCAATTAAGAACGCTTCTATTTTTTTTATATAATTTCACATTCTCGTAAAGTTTCATTTTTTTCAAATTAAAAAAAACCTCTTAGCTGTCAATCTTCAATTAAAAGCTAAATATATATATATATATATATATATATATATATATATATATATATATATATATATATATATATATATATATATATATATATATATATATATATATATATATATATATATATATATATATATATATATATATATATATATATATATATATATATATATATATATATATATATATATATATATATATTGAACTAAACTAAATATTTCTTATTTTACCACCGTCATTTCATTTTTGAGTTAACCTAAAATGCGAAATTCGCCCCAATTCCACTCAATTTTGGTGTCGTGTTATGAAAAAATCCGTGAAAGGAAAGCACAGTGTAATATTGCGAACTAAATGCTATACGAGGTGTGTTCAAAAATTATCGCGAATTTTGAATTTTCGCGGGTTACGTATATTCGAATTTCGAATTTTTTGTGGCGTTATGTTGGTATTCATGTCTCTCATTTATGCCGACAAGCTCGGCCATGTTGAATGTTCATTTAATTGTTGACAGCTGCTTTGCTTGCACGTGTTTTGGATCGTCTTCGATTTTTACCTATTCAAAAAAATGGATCAAAGAACCTGTATGAAATTTTGTGTGAAAAACGAAATTAGGTGCGCGGATGCATTCCGAATGTTGACTGTGGCATAAGCAGAAGCTACCTTGGACCGAAGCAACGTTTATCGGTGGTACAAAATGTTCTCAGAAGGCCGAGAAGATGTGAACGACAAAGAGCGTGCCGGACGCCCGAGCACTTCAACAACAGACGAAAAAATTAATGAAGTGGAGAAAATGGTATTGGCCAATCGTCGAATCACCGTTAGAGAAGTTGCCGAGGAACTAAACATATCGATTGGCTCGTGCCATTCGATTTTTATCAATGATTTGGGTATGAGACGGGTCGTCGCGAAATTCGTACCAAAATTGCTCAATTGTGACCAAAAACAGCATCGCATGAACATTGCTAATGAGATGTTAAACTCTGTCCGCGACGACCCAAATTTGCTCCAGAGGGTCATAACTGGTGACGAATCGTGAGTTTATGCTTATGACGTGGAAACCAAAGCTCAATCATCTCAATGGAAGCTGCCGCACGAACCAAGACCGAAAAAAGCCAAGTTCGGTCGAATGTGAAAGTTTTGCTGACAGTTTTCTTCGATTGCAGGGGCGTGGTGCATCATGAGTTCTTGCCACAGGGAAGAACAGTCAATAAGGAATATTACCTGCAAGTTATGCGCAATTTGCGCGAAGCAATCCGTCAGAAACGCCCGGATTTGTGGAGGAACAAAAATTGGCTTTTGCACCACGATAACGCCCCTGCTCACACATCGTTGCTTGTGCGCGACTTTTTGGCCAAAAACAACACACTAATGATGCCGCAGCCACCGTATGCCCCAGATCGGGCCCCCTGTGACTTTTTCTTGTTCCCTAAACTGAAGAGGCCCATGAAAGGACGACGTTACGCTTCTCTTGACGAGATAAAGACGGCATCGAAGGAGCTGAAGAAGATAAAAAAAAATGATTTTTTAAAGTGCTTCGAAGATTTGAAAAACCGTGGGCACATGGGGATTACTTTGAAGGGGACAAAATAGATATTCATGAATAAATAAATATTTTTTGAAAAAACACAAAATTCGCGATACTTTTTGAACACACCTCGTAGATTTTATGTGGGCGCAAGTGAAAGGACACACGACAAGATTAATAATTAAGCTACTGCTTGATCAAGCCATTAAGGAAATGAAAAAAGAGTAAAAAATTTGGAACTTCCTACTTCTAGCAAATAAAAGCTAACTTAAATTTAAAAAAATATATACAATAAATATTTCTTGCGATTCTATGTACAGGGATTACCAAATTTACAATGTATAATATATATAGGGTTACTATTTATATTTCGCCACTCATCTACAGTCGTAACTACTGGCTTTAGAAAAAACTTAAACAGAATATAACAAAACAACAAAATTGATATGACGTATTATACAGAGTTTCTCAAAAAAAGTTGTCATAAATATGTTTATTTTATTTAATGCAAGAACTTAAATGTTATTATTATACATTAATATTTTTTTTTTGTTATTAAAACTTCAAACGTTTTATTTTGGTGCATTTTGTATACTCTAAGTGCTTATAAAAACTAAACAATTCAACGTCGTCAAAATAACCTTTGCATTCCTATTTTCGTCTTATTACATATTCACTTTTATTATTATTAAATTTTAATTTTTTTATATTCAATTAAATTTGCAGATAATAGCTTGTCAAAAATTAAACTATTGGCATGTGAATAAACACTATAGTAAATTAATGTGCAACTGAAAAACAGTACAATACGATTATTAAAATTATACTGAAGAATTATTTCGAAATAACAATTAACCAAAAAAATATCGTACTTGTCTGCAAATTTCGGCTTTTAAATTTAGCTTCAAAATATTGATAGCGAACCTATGATTACATAAAAAAATATATCAACTTGGATTTAGCAAGAGTTTTGAATATTACAAAGTATACGAAAACAGATACCACAGTCCATTTGATCAAGCGAGGTACATTTGAAAATTAGCAAGGTTGAAATATACATATCAATAATTGAAATGAAATATGTACTTACATGCAAAATATATCAGGTAGCTAAAATCAAAAAAATGAAACGGAATTCCACAACGGCGTGTCTTACCGAATGAAAGGTATCAAACTAACTATTTGAAGAAAATTTTAATTAAATAGAAAACTTAAGTTTTCTATTAAGCTGTCGAACGGTTGTCCCAACTAACGTTTATTCTCTGTGATGCTATGTAAAAAACAAGGCTTTGGCAATGAAATCTCACTCTACTTTTGTATATTTTTATTATTACTTATTTGATACTTAATAATTATATGTTAATAAAAAATTGTAAATCAACAGGATATTATAGTTTTCGAGATGAGAATATTATGATTTTTAATAAAAAATAATGCCGAATTTTTATTCCGTTAAAATAATTTTTGTTCCCTTTTATGGGTATCTTACCGGGACGCTTTTGGCACACCATTTTCAATCTTGGTGGATGGTTAATATTAGGCAAAACCCGTAAATTGACTCAAACCCGACTGGTACTAACGGCATTGGTTATCAAAACACATTTTTGCAATGAAATCAATTCCGAACAATAGTTGGATTGGTGGGATCACTTTTCAGTTGCTTCGCATGTTGTTTCATTGCTGAAGTAGATTATACTATGGAAGTGCCCAAACTCAGTTGCATTGAATAAATTGCTAACTAAACATATTTACGTTTTCTTACATGTTGTGAGCACCAAGTTATGAGTGGCATAATGTTAAAAACCACATATCCGGAAGAGTTCTTTCAACTTTTTTTACTGAAATTGGGTGCATTTTTCTCCGAGAGAGAAGTTTTTAAACAATCTTGAATACGAAACAACGTAAGTGTAGCAAGTCTTTTTTTTAATTTGTTTTCCGGAGCTGAACTATCTCAGGCAGCCGGCCGTTGTTTCCCGTGATTAATATTCACAAAATATGGTGCCAATTTTTAAAGTGACAGCCACTTCGGACTTTTTTGGTGCTTTGGCAATCGGATTGATGAGCATCACATTTTTATGCTTTTTCCTTAGAATATTAAACGACCAAAATAAGTTTCACTATAATTATTTCAGGTGCAGGTCCCGATAGTCAGCAACGACCGCTGCAAAAGCATGTTTCTCCGTGCCGGTCGTCACGAATTCATTCCCGATATTTTTTTGTGCGCCGGTCACGAAGGGGGCGGTCAAGACTCGTGCCAAGGTGATTCGGGAGGTCCCCTTCAAGTCAAGGGCAAAAACGGACGATATTTCCTCGCCGGCATCATATCCTGGGGCATAGGGTGCGCGGAAGCGAATCTGCCCGGGGTGTGTACCCGCATATCGAAGTTTGTGCCTTGGATCCTGAAAAACGTCACTTAACGCACTTTACGATGTGATATTATGGAAGTAAGGGAACCGCTGAGACTGCAATCGAGTACCGGTATTGTAAGGCCAAACTATAGAGACATGTCGACTTCTAACACCAAATCGAAAAGAACACTTATGAAACCAATTTTTGAGTAGACCTTTGAGTGAAACACTAACGCCCGCAGGATTCCTGTCATTTGCACAGTGTTAAATAAAAAGTTTACAGGGTTTTGATATTGAACTCAATTGATAAATATTTATTAGAGGTTCGTGTTATCATTCATTTTAAAGTGTTTTCCAATAAACAAATCATGAAAAATTTTACCGTTCTCTACTTTGTAATTTTTTAACATTTGCATTCATCAGTCAAAATTAACATCTTCTATAAAGAAATATTACAAAAATTGGTTATTTTTTGCAAATGTGGTAACTTTATTTCAGTTTTTTACAATCTTTTACAAACTTTTGTTTGCTACAGCCTGATTTAAACAAAAATTCGTTTTAAACCCCCAATAGAAATCGCCAACGTTAATGCAAAGTTAATATGGTTTAAACATTTTAAAAAGAAATAAACTTTGGTTGATTTAATTACAATCCAGAGAGGTAACTCATTCCTGTAATTAAATTTTTTATTTTTACAGATTTTTGTTAAATTTATTTTATTTTATATCGTTATAATTTACATTTCTAAATAAATAAGTGTTTTTGTAACTGCCCAGCATAAAGCTTCAAGACTCAGTTAAATGCAGTTTGCAACATTGAACACGGCATCATTTTCTATCAAACTTTCAAATGAAAAAAAACTTGTTACTATAATTAACTCGAAGAAATTTTGCCTCATTAGTAATAAAAATAAAGCTGGTGAATTTTTAATGACAATCGATTTTCGTAATAATAAAGTTTATTTAAACGTACCAATGTCAATTTTTCCAGCCCGTAATTTTTATTTTAAGAATATGTTCCAAAACCCCTAAATTGCACCGTTGCTAGGGGTCAAACGCCGACACTGCCACCGTAACCAGTTCAGTATTACACGAACTTATTGACACTCGAACAAAGGTTTTAATTTCCGTTCGCTCTCCGCTCTTTTCTAATCGAATTTCGTCAGGGACGGACCGATACTTAACATCCAATGAGCGTTTAAAAATAAAAACCAGCCCGTTGTCTATAAATTAAAACAAATTCGTTTAACAATATTTTCTCGTTCATGAGTTTCATATTATGCTATTTTCTGATTTATCCCTTTTAATGTAATTAATTCCCTTCACACGCATTTGTACAAAGTGTAATATTTGTTAAATAAATTTATAGTAGTCACTGTTTTCAATTTTATTTTATCTTTTTGGTTATTAATAGAATAGGGTAGCCGAAAAATATAATAATAGTACGAAATGTTTCTAAAAACGAACAAATCTATTTCTTCCTGTAAATGCCCTCTTTATTTAAGCACCAACTGCTGTATAGAGTCCTAATTTATTGTATTGTTTTATTTTAGCAAAAAAATAAATAAACAACTATAAATTACACAGAGCCGTGTTTTATTTTTATTCTTATCATCCGATATAAACTGAAAAATATTTACTAAAATCGTACAACAAAGAATATTCGAAAAATGTGAAGGCAATATAAGTGACTTACAGTGCGGGTATAGAAGAAGCGAAACTACCAACATAAGTGATTGTCCAGAAATACTATGATCATGGATTGTGAAAAAGTATTCGATCGCATGCATCTCAAATTAATGCAGCGCCTTGATATACAGGGTGCTTCAAAAAAATGTATCCACACTTTGAACTTCCATAGAAAATTAATTTACCGTTCTACAAAGTTAACTTTCAGGAAAATAGAAAGCTGAAAGTCCAATGTAAATGAAACATAAATAACAAATCTTAATACTGTTCAAATTGGTGACCTGCAGCATCAATACAATTCTGAGTACGAGTCACCACTGATTCTGTACATCGTATCAAAACGTCCAATGAGATTTCTCTACACACTGCTTGAATCTCATTCCAAAGAATGTCTAGGTTACGTGGTTTACGTTTGTACACCTCATCTTTTACTGTGCCCCACAAGAAGAAATCCAGTGGTGTAAGGTCTGGAGAGCGTGCTGGAAACTCGATTGGCCCCCTGCGTCCTATCCACCGGCCCGACAAATTTTGATCCAGGTAAGCTCGTACGTCCCTGTGATAGTGCGGCGGAGCACCATCTTGTTGAAAATAAAAATCATCATTACCGTATAATGCACGAATGGCAGGAAATATGCAATCAGCAAGCATTGTTAGGTAATTAATACCAGTTACAGTGCCTTCAAATCGAAAAGGTCCAATGAGTCCCCTTGAAGACAAACCGCACCACACATTTACACCAGGCAAATTTACAGCTTTTTCAATTGTAATGTGAGGATTTTCTTCACCCCAGTAAACACAATTGTGCCTATTGACAGTTCCATTAACTTTGAATTGGGCTTCATCCGACCAAATGATGCTACCCATAAATCCCGGTTCACGTATCACCATCTCCTGAATCCATTCACAAAATTGCAACCCTCGATTTGGATCGTCGTCATTTAGCTGTTGCACCAGCCTTGGAATGTAAACACGATACTTGCCTCTCTTCAGAATGCGTAGCACGCTGCTAGCACTTACATCATTTTCACGTGCCCCTTGCCTTGAAGATTTGTTAGGAGAGGGTTGAAACACTTCCATAACTTGTAGCTGTTCGAGGCCGACCTGAATGATCTTTATGCACATCACACACTGTTCCATTCGAATTTGTCTCGTATGCGTGTAATTGTTAATCTTGAAGGTGGTTCTGTATCATATTCCCTTCTCCACTGTCTTTGAACTTCATTTACATTCTCAAACTTCCAGTACCGCTTAATAACCTGCTTACGTTCTTCAAAACTCAAACGTACGTTCCCCATGTTGATATTACAAATTCCAACTGATAATATAACATAGAGGGACGATTTTGCTGGCACCTGGCGAAGAAATATAACATTAGCCTTGTAGAGCGGGAAAACTACAATAGTTTAAAGTGTGTATACATTTTTTTGAAGCACCCTGTATATAGGCATGATATAGACCAGAAATCTACATTGGAACCAAATGGCACAAATAACATTAGACAACAATAGATCTAACGCTATACAGATTAGTAGGGAGGTGCATTAGGGGTGTGTGCCATTTCCACTCTTATTTAACTTGTATTCGCAACAAATTTGTTTATAGAAAAAGTAGATAAATTCGCATTGCACTTGAGGTGAAAAGTTTATGCATTTTTGGGTATGCGCTGTTAAGTAACTTTTGGGTTGCTATTAACATAGAAGTACGGACCGACCCAATGGATTCGGGGTGAGTCATCGATTTATAGATCGCAATTTTTAATTGGGCACCAAGTATTTTATCACTCACACTCACTTCTCTTTAGGTAAGACGCAGAGAATGAAAGAAAAACCATAAAAATCTCAGTCGGAACTGGAAATCACGCTATACAGTGGACAATAAAACGGTCGATGATGTCCACGACGATTGGCTAATAATATTCATCTGAACCTAGATCATATCTTAACTGTAGGAATTGAAATTATATTCGGTTGATCCACACAGTAACGTACAGACACAGTATAAGTACGATTTTCGCAAACTGTTTTTTATTCTCCTAGGGGGTACATATCCTTGTCCAATCGGTTGATAGTACGAGGCTGATGGTTCTGCAAACCCTGCCAACTGAAACTACAGGCTCGCTGAGGGAATTTGTGGCTACGACACGGTACCCTACGACATTGGGAATGACAGACAGTGAGCAAAACAAGATGGCTTCATAGGCCGCAACAATCTCGATCGGAGTACTCTCGTAAATAGAAAGACAAAAAAAACGTTTAAGAGATAGAAACGAACAAATCTATTTCTTCCTTATATTACCGCATGGGAGGAACATATTTAAGGTAGAACTCACCTCTGTTGTCTAGTTCACTTAAAACACAGAGACGTTTTCTGACCAAAATTTAGAGCACCAAATTGACGAAATTGAATCAGTGATACGACGAAGTTCCGAAATACCATAACACAAGAAGATAACCATAAGAACTTGAGCTTCGTGAGAATACAATACACAAATCAAATTTTCAATCTTCAAATTGCAAATACCACTTCAAAGTTCCAATCGTGCTACCTAGATTCGCTCTCCCAGCCGCAGGTAATCTGTCGACGGCCGGACCTAACTAAACTTTTTTTTTATAAGGAACAAAAAAAGAGTCAACGTGATAAATCCTGGATTTAAGTTATGGGGTGAAACAAAATTTAATTACTCCCCGGATGTTTAATCGTAATATGGAGAATTCGTATCAGCACAGAGGTCCAGAAAATATAAATAATGATCAAAAATATAGAAATAATACCAAGAATCAATAACATATATTTAACGACAAAATCATAACCGATTAATAGCATTAAAAGTATTTAGTATTAGTAATAGTATTTACGTGTAATTATATTATTACTACAATTATATTTTTGTGGAATAATTCGGATAACATATATTTAACGACAAAATCTTAACCGACTAATAGTATTAATACTATTTAGTATTAGTAATAGTATTTAGTTGTAATTAGTAATAAATAGATAAATCATTAAATAATGTTCAAAGAATCTTGCGGATTTTCATCCATTTTTGGTTGGATTGATGTATCAAATAGGCTAAATGCTAGTATGCACTATAAAAAAATCTATAATATATACGAAAATATTACAAATTGGGCGGACAGCAAAAATTGTAAATTATATTTTTGCGGAATAATTCGGACAAAGCTATTGTGTGGCATTTAGCAATTATTTGACGCCTTTCAACTATCGAATGACTTCAATTATGCAAAGATTTACATTACAGAGCAAATTACAGGCTTTCGAGATATAGCTTTGTCCCAAAATCTTTAAGTTAACTATGTGAAATAATTAAGCAGAGGAAAACAGCATTTGTGCGACCGAAAATATCAATTGTTACATCTGGTGATAGCGGGAACGGTTGAACACAGGATCGGATGTTTTGGCTACGAAACATCAGATTGTCCACTACATGTGAGCTGCATGTGAATTCGAAATAGAGGATAGCCTGTGAACGTAGCTTACCATTTAAATTTGTATATTTTTTCATTTAAGAATTTTTGCATATTATGTACTGAGAGATTAAATCACAATTAAAATTTTAATGGATACATCAATTTTCCGCTATAGAGCAACCCTACTATATCGGTTAGAGACTTTAACGAACTACGCGAATTCGAAGCCCAATAATACCGCGGAAATTAGTACACGTCGAAGCGAAATCGGTTTCGCACTGATCTGCTGTCGGTATTTGTGGTTTGTGTTTTTCAGCGTGCAAGCTCTACGATGATGATCCTGATTACAATACGTTGCTCTGTCCTTGTTGTATTTTCCCACAAACCTTTAGTTAAACGTGTTAATTGCTTAAAGGCTCTTAAAACCTGATATTGAACTATTGAATTATGCTAAAGCACTGAATAATGGAAGTTCTCTTATAGCGCGATTGAACATATATCAGCATAATTTTTGAATTGAATTGAATTGAAATTGTCAATATTTGACTAATTTGTAACTCATTTTTTGAAGTACGAATGAGGGATCTAATCGACGCATCTGTATGTTTTAATAATTACACCAAACATAAAATTAATCAAGGAATAAAGTAAAAAAACCAAAACATCTTTTTCTAGATATTATTTTGGTGAAATCTTCATTTAATGGTCGAATTCATAAAACAACTCGGATCGAGGTTCTCGCAATGTTTTTTATAAAACTTCAAACTATTATAACGAAACAATTGATAACCCTTCTCCTTCCTTACCTCCATGTCTCATTAAAATTCGCGACACTACCCTTCACTCGACTCCGTTAATAAGAGGGCGAAGAATTTGCATAGATCGTTGGCACACAGGAACCATCAGGGGGGCTGGTCTAAATGAAACTGTCAGCTAAAATAACTTCTTCGCCCTTGAGAATCAAGACTTCCAAAAGTTAAAAAAAGTTTTCATACTGGGCTATATTTACAAATATTCGTTTTTCAAAAGAAAAAATGGTGGTTCTAGCTCACTTGTTGACTTAAATTGTTAAATTTATTTACATTATGAGGATTTCATAAATAACCAACATCAATATAAAGATGTTAACTTAAGTTACTGTATCCGAATATATAATAAAATTCCAGTGGTGATATTGGTTTGGAGTACATCCAGTAGTAAGGTTGCTTTTGTAAAAAAAATTATAAATCTTAGACTTATTGCCGTACACAAAACTCGAAAAATTTAACCGTCACCTATATTAACTTATACTAAAAATAATATTTTGATGTCAACTATTTTATTTTCACCTATAAATATCCCTCTGCTTTCACGCCGGTATTATAGTCTTTTGTCAACCCACTGAAAACATTAAACTAACGCGCAACCTCTCGGCAGGATTAAAACTCAATTACTAGGTAGCAGGAGTCGATTCCGGATAATCAGGAAATTAGTAACCATCGCGGTTAAAATGGCGGAACTACCGAAAGCCGTGAATGCCGTATTGAAGAGGAAATTGAACGTAGCTGGGCGACATAATTATCGGCGTAGAGTCGATTGTAATTTCGTTTTCGCGCCCAACTTCTTCCATTTAATTTGCGGCGGAGCAAACATAATTTTAGCAGAACGGGATTAAAAGCGCTGAATTGTGCCCGGATTAGAAGATTGCAGTCGGCGCCGCTATAAAACTAAATTTGCGTAGCACTGTTTTGCAATCTGTTTTTTGAGCGTTTCCGCTCTTAATCCGCGTTAAAGTGTTTAAAAGTCAAATTCTTTTATAACGGCTTGGAAATTGTAGGCGCTAAGTGAAATAGATAGCTGAATAATTAGCAAATGCAGGAAACGGAGATGTATTTTCAGGCGTCAACCCCTAAGCATGGTACATTGGAATAATATATCGCTGGTCTAACTGCGTATCAAAATATACCTTATATTATTGCATACATTTTGAAGAATCAATAAGAAATATAAAAATAAATCCTAATTTAATGCTTTAATAAGTTTACATTAAATTGAAATGAATAAAAAACACTTAGTTCATTAAAAAAAGAGTCCATCCACACAGGTGACAGACATTCATTTTTCATTATTTTGATTAATATCAAAAGCGTGATTCGTAATTAATAAAAATAACAAAGCTTGTAGAATGATTTACTCAACGACATTTTATTATACTGAAAAGGATCTAAGTATTTCCCTGGTTCGTCTTATAGAAGAGTATTTTAAAAATGACCGCTGTGTCAAATTAAATCTTTAATTTTTTTCCAAGAGATTAAAGGGTATTGTTAAATGTGCTTAAGTGTAAAAAATTGGTGAAATGGATTCCTATGTATATGTAATTTTGAATTAAGTTCGAAACTGTTTTAATAAGATTTGTTTAATCTACCTTATGGTTTTTCAAATATTTGAAATTTTTCTAAGTGTGAGTAATCGGAACACCATATCAGTTTAATTTCTTTTTACTGTGTATATTATATAAGATATATACATAACCTGTGAGTTGTGAGCGAAATTAATCTATTCTCCAATCAGAACAGTTGCGCACGTATAGTGGCGTAATAAAAAATGATCCGTATGTCTTAGATGTATTGCTACCACTTTTAGATGCGGATTTCAAAACTGACAAACAAAATGCCTGTGACAATTTAGGACATCCTTGATAACGATGCCATGTTATGATGTAACTGCACCATTGCTCTGACTGGACTTTACTATTTGATTCACTGTATATTTCTCAAACCCACTTCCTATTCCTTGCAATCGAATTGATATTGAACCTAACAAATGGCATAGATACATTTACGAAGTCTTCTCTCTAAAATTCAGATGACAAATGAATAGTTTCACCTTCATCATTGAACTGACCTTATTCAGGTGGATAATCCTGGTTAGGAATTGGATGAAAAATAAAACACACGCATCGTATAAATAACTATTCAATATAACATTTATTATATCTGGTTGATACAGCCGTTATTGTCGTGACGTACTCAAACTTAGTGATACATTTAACAAGTGCCTATTGTCGTGCAGGTACAAAGAAACCATATGTTATGTCTGTAGTATAGAGGGTACAAAACGTTTTGATTTTTAAGAAGTATAAAAAAAATAGTATTAACGCGAATCCTATGTTACACTTATTTACTTATTATATTTTATAAAACAGAAATATTCATGCGCTGTTGACTTAAATATTTAAATGCGGTGATTTTGATTACATATTACCGGACAAATGGCTATTGTTAGGCCGTATATTGAATCTGAAAGCTTTCCTACTGTAGTCCTTAGCTTTTGATTGCTCGTAGAATCATGTTTCCTGGTGAAATTTTTGCTGTACCATCGAACAAAAAACCGGTAAGAAAAGTTATTCTTCATCGTTGCCTGAAACATTGACGATCACCTTCCTCACTCTTCCCTATTCGTCAATGGCGTTTATTGGCACTAGATGGAGAAAAATATATACGGGCTGCGTATCAACGCAGGTAGAAAAAAAGACTAGGATATTTCGATCGTTCGATGGTTTCGCTTGCATTTTTTTAATCAGCTGTCGGAAAAAACATCACAACTAAACAACTAACTGTTCAGCTAACTAGCGTGCTCGACAAAATGTCCGTAACCGCTCCGGTTCAGTGTTCAGCTCTCGCCGTAGCTCTTTTTGAACCTGTGTACTCTGCTAAGCCTCCGATCGTTTAATTTCAACCCGCCGCTTATATAATGGATATCCGGATCCACAATGGCTGTCAATTCGTTCGAACATTGAAGACGGGCTGAATGCGGGTCCGGTATAATCGTGAGCTGTTCCAGATCCCCCTGGAAACGAAATTGTTAGGTTAACTGACGGCCGATCGCGGATAATCTTTCTTTCGAATTCAAATGAATACATAAATGGCGATCGAAATGTTGTAAAGGAATGTTGTCGATTGTTAGAATTAACATTTTTTACGAAACAAACCAAGAAAGAGAATGAAAGTAAACATTTCTACAAAATAATATACAGGGTTATTCATGCAAAACGTTTTAAATAAATAAATTTACAAAATTGGCAATATTGACCGGCTCAACCTTCAAATAATTAATTGGAACACTGTGTATATTTTATAATTGTTTGTTGTTCAACAATTTAGCAATAAATTTAATTTTTGAATTGTTTGCCCTAAAAAAAATACACCTACAGAGTAATAAAATAAATAAAAAATTTTACTGTGCCAGATTTTTTTTATTTGAACTGTTACTAGTAGTAATTCATAAAAGAGTGTACCTTACTTACAGAAATGTCGGCACCTGGAGCACTAAAATGGATCAAACGAGATGGATGGAATACAACATACGGAAATAAATAAGATTGCTTTCGAAAAATCGTCGCTGGTTGGGGCTAGTTCGTAGCGCGTAGCGCGAAGCAGTTTTTTATTCTAAAAAGCCGGACTTCGCGGTTTCTTGTCCTAGAGGGATGCAATTGTTTTTCTCTCGTGCTCCTCCGGACTAATATGAAACTTTCGCAAAATCGATGTAATTTTAGTGTGCACACCCTGTATAAAGCGTCTTTTACGTCTTCGCCGAACTTCAAAGTCACGGCAAACTTTGATAACTGTTGTAATTGGTACAAATTATAGGAATTTGCAATGACATTTTTTGAAATATCTTGCGCACCCTATATGACTAAACTTGAAACTATTTTCGATACTGTTTAAACCAAATTATTCCTTTTTTTATAGTTTTTTATTTAGGGTTAATAATTTACCCACGAAAACGGCAATTTTTAGGATCTTAAACGATGTATATATAGTTTTGGTTTGTACAAAATAGAGGTGATACCCCTGGATCTCCCACGTCTCCTGATATATAAATTTTTCTAATAGAGTAAACGGTTTTCGAGAACATACTTATTTTCTGAAATCATGCAGTACGTCGTAATAGTACATGACGTCATCGCGTCTAGTTTGAGGGCTAGCACCGGTGATTTTCATTTTGATTTTTTGAAATATAAAAACTGTAACTCTTGATGCGGCCTATAATAACGTTTAAACCAATTAGCCATATATTTTACAAATGTTTATTTACGGCAAATAATTTACTCCGGAAAAAAACAATTTTCAGGGTCTTTTATATATTTGTCTACAAAAACCATGTAAATAATCGAAAAAATGCTTGAAATAAAAGTTATAGTGCAGGATCTTCCGCGTCTTTTGATTTAAGAATTTTGTCGATCGGGTAAATAGTTTTTGAGAAATACTTTTTTTTCTGGACGCCTAAATAACAACAAATTTTTCAAACATTTTTTTAAAATACTTCGTGATACTTGATGGCGCCCAGATTTAACATTTTAAATGTGGCTGTAGACACTTGTTACATTTCTTATTACAGAACGGAATATCTTGAACACCCTGTACAATAAGTGAAAACCTTAAATACGGAGACGTATTGTGTTTCATAGCAATGTCCAAAAAACAGTCGAAAATAAAAAAAAAAGATGGAAGCCGAGGTCCGGTAGCGGCCGTTTTTTACTGGCTTGTGTATCCCGTCGACCTATTGAAAGAAGCCAATTTTGAACATAGTACGTCAAACTGTTCGAAAGCTAGGGCCAATTAATGCCGCGTCTACAGAGAAACGGAGAACGGGCAGACAAAATTTAAAAAAATGTTTTTTCGACCCTGATAATTTGTGTACCAATGGGGGTCCCCTAGGACCTCGCGTTGCCGAGATATGTTTCGTTGCCAAACGCATATACTTTCGAAAAATTCGGTTTTATCCACTTTTCGAAAGTAACAATTGTACATTGTTTTTCCGCAAGAATATAAATTTCTTCCGAATAAACTTGTAACAATTTGATACTCACGGTAAATAAATATCCGATGATAATGTCCGAGTCGTCTGGCACATCCAATGCATGAGAGAGCAGTACCTCAGTTCTGGACCACTCGCAATCCACGTAGCTCTCGACAATGCTGCTTTCTCTAATGCTGTTGGACAACAGAACAATTCCATTACACGCCTTGCATCGACGTCCAATTTTATAGTTCTCAGTTATTGTTTAGAATGTAAAAAACGTCATTCAGGTAAGGCTATCCAGCAGGTATTGAAATTTAAGTATTTGAACAAATCTCGGGTTATGGTGATGGGCAGGCGGAAGTAAGAGAATAGACAACAAGGCAACCCAACATACATCGCAGAAACAAACGGATACAGCAAAAAATAACTAATCAACTACTAGAGACAATCGAAATGAGAATGGAATAACAGGAAAAACGCTCTTGGATGGAGAGAGGAGTTGAAATATAAAAAGAACGTGCAAGGCAGAAAACGTTAATGAGCGGGTAGAAAGATAAAATGGAACAAGCTCATCACCAGAAGGGTCAAAAGAAGAATAGTCAGAATAACCATTAGGTCGATTTGCCTAGACTCGAACAGGAAGAAGAAAATAAAAACGTAAAAATTGGGACAATCTTATGTACGTGAAATTGAAAAGTTTTATAATGAAAATACAATATTATTTTATAATCCCCTTTCCCAATATCGCTTGTACTATAACTTTTTATTTTATATCTTTTTATGATATTAAATTGCAAATTGAATTACTGTTCTTCAATCTTTGCTAGTTAATTGAAATAATTTATTTTATGACATTTTTAGAAAAATACCTGAACGCGTTTATCGAATTTTTCTATGTAAACCATAAATATCGGAAAATTTTTTACTCTGTCTAATGGTTGAATGGATATTTTTTTAATGATCTCGACTTATTTGTTTGCTTGTACCCAACCGAAAGATTCGTTTTCTATTTTTATCATTCGAGGTGGACGCTCTCCTACGTCCTGTTATTTATTGCAGTGGGTCAGGCAAATGAATTAAACGTATTTACATTCCGGAAGGGTGCATAATATAAATAAATTCCTAGCACCCATTTCGGGACTGAAATAAACTGATCATACCGACCTCGATTCGGAAAATATGCAGACTTCCCGGAATGCAGAATTGGATCCTTGCGCCAGACTAGCGGAAAATATTACTTTAGGATGGTAACGACTGTAATTTCGAACACGTTTCGCCGCACGTTTCAGGAATAAAGGTCCAATAAGATGTAAAACATATACGAATTGTATCGAATAAATACCAGCAATTCTGTTTTCAATTTTTTTCTTCATTGCCGTAGGTTCAAAAATAAACTCGATAGTACAGAATCTACCGAATACCTGGTGTAATTTTTCTTTCCTTCATCTAACGCATCCAAAGCCATTTATAACTCTGTTATACATATAGCAACTAAATGGATATACTGAACCCTTATTGCCTATGCTGATAATAGTCTTTTTCTACTCCCGTCTGTAAAATACCGAATTACTTAAATATTAATTCCTGTGAAGAATTTTTAAAGTACTGAAATGCTTTAATGAGAATGCAATACAATAGGAATCCCTCAAAATAGTTGTTCAGTTGTGAACGCAAATGCAAAATTTTAAACACTAGATGAAACTGTCTTGTTTCTAAGAGAAAAAAAAAACGAATTAATTTTTGATTATAAATAAACTATTGCAAAAAAAAATTACGAATTTTTACCAAAAAATACATACATACATACATGTTAGTATATTTGAGTCACGAATTTATTTGGCACGAGCGGAACGAGTGCTTAATTAACGAGTGAAATAAAGAGTTTTTTCAACTCCCGTCTGTACAATAACTAATTACTTTACCACGTCAGTTTCGTTTCCCATGAATGAATTTTCGGGGACATTTCCCACACTTTGAATCTTGATGTGTCAATTCTGACGGTCATGTCAGTGTTGTTGTTTTGCGAAAATGTACTCAAAAACTAACGATCGTAGAAAAAGTATAGAATGCAAAACGTTCGGTAAACTTTTTAACTCACTCTTGCATAATATACTATTAAAAGCAAATGTCCAAAAATGTTGAGAGAGAACCTTCTACACGCGCATACCAAATCGACAATTTTTAATTGAGTGTGGCAGTGTTTTGTTATTAAATTTTCATTGAGAAAAAGAGTTAAACGGAGGTTACTTTTTAAAAAGAAAATGGAACGAATTGCAGGTTAGTGTGTGAAATTTCTTCTTCATCTTCATTTCTTCATATATAGCTTTTTAATATTCTTAATAATAAGGAAATACAGTTGAAGCTGGCTCAGAATAATTTAAATGACTGTACTAGACAACGTAACTGCTTGCGGATGTTATCCCTAAAGGTAATGTTAGAAAAAATAAAACAATAAAAAATAAATTTAAGTTTAAAGTTTTGGTTAGTTTGGTTTTGGCTTTACGGAAAATCAATTTCTCGGTGATGGTTCACAATTTTAGTACCGAAGGAGGCAAAAAAAAACGTAGACACAATTATTTTTTATAAATCCACCCCAAAATATGTAATATTGTTTTTCTACTCCCTTTCGCAAAATTTTGACATTTGTCAATACTGATGGTCAAAATGTACCCAAAAACTAACGGTCCTAGAAAAAGTATAGTATGCAACATGTTTGGTAAACTTTTTAAGTCACTGGTTTATTACACACTCGTGACTCAAGTGCCGTTTACCGCACTTGTTGCATAATATATTATTTTTAGGTAGTGTGTTTAAAGCAATAAGTCAATTTGAAGACTTTTAATGAAATGTGGCGAAAAAATTACTCAATAATTAAGAAGTTCGCTGTCATATTTAAATTAATGATTTAGGATTGGCTTATTAACATTGCTATAAAATTGATACGCGATTTGCTTCACTCGATGGATGCATCGTCCGGTATACATCACGTAATTATTCGGTCGGATGTGCCAGGCTTATATCCAAGTAAAGTTATAAGTAAGAAAGTACTGTCAAGGAACAAAAAGTCTTTTAAAAACACAAGTACAAAGCAAGTCTGCCCTACAAAGATAAATGAGAGGCCAAGATTAGAATAATAAATATTATGGACTATTAGAAAAATCGATATATGACGTAACGGTTTCGACATTTGAACTGAGGTGGCTTTTACTTGATGAAAATCCATTTATCAAAATAAATTAGAACTAAAAGTTCAGATTTTCACGAAATTATATATTTTGACATGACAATTGTTTCGACAACGTCTTTATCAAATGTTTTCATTTTTTCATGTTTCATTTTCTTTGCCGGTATGACTTGTAACTTTTGGCACATTCAGCGGGTTAACAACTCCTTTGAAAAGACCACTTAACTTTCTTCTTCTGAAAGGTTGAGAAAGAAAGCAAAGACGCAAAGAAACAAATATTCGCAATGGTCCATTTGTTGAACACCTATCCCTGGATTATGTAAACAAAAAGAAATGATGCTTGGCTGGGGCGGTTCTGATTAATATCAGTTAAATCGCATGTATTAGCGAATACTTAGCGAAAAATTGATATATTTTTTATGCTCTGCCGAAATTTAAAAATGTTACGAATAAGTATTTTCAGTCACTTTTTTGCATTAATACTTATGGAATAAATAATAATCATATATAATTAAATACAACAGACTAAACAGATTTATAACAGGAGAACATAAAAAATGGTATATTATCATATACCCGGTGTTCGGAAATTGAGTTTGCAAACTTGGGGAAAAGATTCAACGTGGTAAAAGAATGGTAATAACTCATGTAACACAAGTTCGAAATCGTAATATTTTCTGAGTTATAGATTGTCAAAATTCATTGGGTTTAATTCTCAAGCTGGTATTTTACATACAGCCCTGATTTAGTAAAAGTCATCATTACAAAATAAAAGTGTTTCAGAAATCTGTCACTAGAGGGCACTTTCCCTAGAACATTTTTTTATTTTCCCTGTATTTTATTTATTTAGACTGATATTCCAAAATAGAGCAGATTGCCTTAAGCAGAATCACAAACCCTCAAAAATTGTTACTCTTATTTAAAGTCGATAAGTATTATCGTTGAGCGACCAATCGATTTTTTATTCTCGGCTAGAATTTTACTTGTAAATGTAAAAGTCACAATCCGTTAATTAGCTTTGGTTAGTTTATTATCCCACTGCTACTGTGATGGCCCATCAGGAATATTCAAATACTGAATATCGCGATATGCATGTTTTCTACCGAAGAGCAAATGGAAATGCAGATCAGGCAGGAGGGCTTTATATCGAGGCTTATCCCAATAGAAACGTTCCATCTGCTAAAAGATTCATCAACATACATATAAAACTAGGTGAGAGAGGATCATTCAAACCTGAGAATATGAATAAAGGGAGACCAAGGTGTAAAAGAACCGATGGAGAAAAAAAAATTCTTCAAAATGTGTGAGGCTGAAGGAGTACGAGAATACATGTTGCTCAGGAAAAAATTTCTTGCTCTACAGTTTGGGAAATTTTCCTTGAAAATGATCTTAGGTCGTTTCATCTTCAAAGGATTCGAGCACTGCATGAGGGTGATGATCAATTGGGAGTAATTTTATGCAATCAAATTTTAGGAAAAATTCAAAATTACCCGCAATTCTTAAAATGTCATTTTGTTCACTGACGAGGCTGGTATGTAAATGCAAATGCAAAAATTGGATTGGGCAGGTAATATAGGAGATAATACTCATAGGATTTCATTTCTTTAACGGATCGCTTAATGGGGAAATGCATTTGTATTTTCTCCAAGAGGAACTACCACCTTTGCTGGAAGAGGTACCCTTGAGGTACACTTGAGACAAAACATGTGGTTCATGCAAGATGGCGCTCCGCCCCGTTTCGCATTGGCTGTATGAAGGTATTTAAATCAGGCATTAAAAAATAAAAATGTACTATTATAAACTGTATATTTCAAAAAAGTTAAGTTAAAGTAAATCGGTTTGAGTAGGTTTAAAAGATATTGAAAATTTGACTTCTACTTCTGTTCCTTCTTTGTGGGCAATACAAAATTTATCCATATTATTCCTCCCCACTCATCACTCATCTATTTTTCAGTACAAGGAAGATTTGAATAACTAAGCAAATATGGTAACTTATCCTTCTCAATACTGAGGACGTACCCTCCGACTTACCTTATTGCGATCTGATGCCATTTATTATCATCTATCGTGGCCGGTATTCGAACTACGTCGGTTCCGTTGGCAGCGGCGTGTATCAGTTTCAAATCAGAACCGGCAACTTCCAGAGAGAGGTAAGTGTCTTGGCGTCGTCGGGATCGTAAACTGAATACCGTCCCCATAGTGCTCTGAAATTGGAGTAACTACATCGTTTCTAATAGTCGTCGAATGTCAGATTTTCCTGATAAAACCCGAGTTCGGTTCTTTAAAACGCGGTCCAGAAGTTCCGTAAAACTTTGCGAAACACTCGTAAATTTTATTTGTTAAGATAATTCGAAAGGCGATGGGATTTTTCAAAGTTTCTCGATACGGATGGCGGTTTATTTGGTTTACATTCCTATCCGATAAATCACTAGTTTCCTTAGCGGACAAAGTTTTCTATCGTTGCACGCTTTCAACGATTTTTTTACGGGTCCAACTGAATTCAGTATGCATATTAAGATGATCAGCGCACGATTTGGTGGCCTGCTTCCTTCCGTATGTGCTAAAATTTTATTAGCGAATTCAGTTTTTAGTCTGACGATCGTCCTTTCGATTTTAAATTTCGCAATTTCATCAAATTCTATAATATTTCTAGACTGTATGATATTTTTATTTCATTTTTACGTAAAATATTTTTTTAAGGAATAAATTAAACCATATAACAATATAACCTGTGCTTTTTTGAATTTGTATCTTTAGCTATTTTCAAATGGTAATTACGCATCTTAAACATTTTTTTCTAATCCAATTTGAAATCCTTTAATTAATTAATAAAAACTAATGTCTGCTCTATTTTACTAATTTTATCTCTTTCTATTCGCTTAACTTCGAAACTTTTTGGAAGTCACATCTAGATTTGCTATTTGGGCATTTCTGAGGCTGCATAAAAAATAACATACAATACAATTTTCAAAAAAATTAAACCTATTGGTGGCATTGTACTCTATTTTGGCATAAAATCAAAATGGCAAAAAAAGGTGCAAATGTTCGATAGAAGGGTTTAACAAAGTGTTATTTATCTAATTTCTAGATTTAATTTTCATGGACGACATTCTTCACTTATGGTGAAGGCGCAGTTTCAGACAAAATGGTAAACAAATTCGAAAAGTATGAAGGTTTGTGGAAGGTGAATAATTTTTATTTTTATAATAAAATTTATGATTTTTCTAAAATTTAGAAATTTAGGTTAGTTCCTTAACCAAAACTAAATTTAAAAAAATATCGAACAGTATGCAATCTTACTTGACATCGTTTAAGGAAGTAAAATATTTTAAATTTATTAAATTCATTAAATTCATCGGAAATTTTTATTGTGGGGCAGTTTTAAAGATTTTGCTAAAATATATACATTGGCGCCGGATGACAATTGAGAAAGGTACTAGATTAGATAAGGTAAAATAAAAAAGTACATAATTTAGTATAGAAGGTATTTTCTAATTGAATAATAATTAAGGGCGCGATTTTTGGGTTTATTTTGAAAAGAAAACATCATATGAACATGTCTTAACTTTTGAGATATAGGGTGGTAGTTTTCGAAAATAAAATATATTTTTTTAAATATCTTCGATTCTTTTGATATTTTAATCAAATTAGGCACACATGCACCATGTATTGGGAGGCATTATTCAGTGTACCACTTTCTTTTTTAAATAGACCAGTGGCAGAAGTACGGAATTTCACATGTCTATTTTGGCAAACAATGATGGTACGCCACTGATTTTTCTTAAAATAAAAATTATTGTTATAATCTCCAATCATTTCTAAAGAAATTTAATTTCTTGTTTTTTTCATTCCTATGTAGGGTTTTCGCTAAAAAAATAAAACCTCTTCTCGGCATGGGCGTTACAATATCGTTAATATGACAGCATCCAGAAAAATTAGTCTTTATTTTTAAGTGAAAACCGTGTAACACCCAAAAAAAAATTTGATAAATCAAATGTGCTCACAAATAAATGCAAATGTCTTTTTTTTTAAGGAAATCTGACTGACTGACTGTCTATGAATAAATAATATTTTGTTTAATTAGGTCGCCACTGCACTGGTTAAATTGAGAACTTTTCTTGTGAAAAATAAAATAAAAAAGTTTTTAGTTTAGTTTAGTTTAGTGTTTTCCGAAAAAAAATAATAGAAGACTGTTCTTCTTTACTTTTACAGTTTTAATAAGATAACATAACATCCTAATAAGATAAATAATAAAAGATTCTTATTTAAATTTATTTTATTTATTTGTTTACGTATCTTGCATTCATACTTCAATGTTTTGAAGTATTTTAATAAAACAGATAAACAAACTAAGTCAGGAATAATAACGGTAATAATTCTTATTCTTACAATCTCCAATCATTTCTAAAGAAATTTAATTTCTTGATTTTTGTCAATCCCATGTACGGTTTTCACTTAAAAAAATAAAAACATGTGAATATTATTATTATTTCTGGAGTGAGAAAAATAACTTGAGTGAAGTGAAACAAGAAACAAGAACACCCTTTCAAATAAATGAAAATAAAACAAATCACTAAGCAACAGTAACATGTTTATTTTGTGGAAATTTTAAAAATTCTATGCAAGAATAAATATAGAGCCGAATAATAAGTGAGGAAAGTATTAACTTAGGTAAACTGAAGTAACTTCTAAATACGTTAAAGAGTTAAGTAACTAAGTTGGAAACTTTTTACTTAATTAAAGAAAAATAACACAACTATTCCGAATTTTAATAGATTATTTCAAATATTCCTACTTATGTAAGAGAAAGATTCTTTTGTTTGAATAAATATGATTATTATTTAAACAAAATAAACATCCAAGATAAATTTTCAGACAAAGATATAACTTTACCAGCGTACGTAATACATAATTACAGAAACGGTTTTACATGAGAAATAACATGCACCGGGTTGTAATTTCCAAATCGCAAACAAACACACGTTATATGGCTATTTATGCAGTGCGTCGTGCCACTGCATATACGGTTGCTATAGTTCTGGAGCACCACCGGGATAATTGCATTGAATTTATGTTCGTCTCTCGTTTCAAATGCAGAATTTCGCCCCGGGTATTAGAACCAGAAGGGGGCGGCGGGGGGCCAATCGGAGTTTTCTGTAAACCGGGGAGCTTCACGGTATCTTGTAAATTCGATTTGTTTAAGTAATTCCGTCAGTGCGGATAAAATTCAAACTTTCCTTCGTTTTGTATAAGTGCATTACCGCGTTTTGTCTGACAAGTAATTTGTATGCGCTTTCTAAGCGTGTCGCGACTTGGAATTTAAAAGAAGAGGGCCCGTTCGGATGGATAAACAATGGAGGACAAAAGCAGTGGCTGCGTTTTAAATTAGAAAACACCCCGGGATAAAACACCACTGCGAAGTCGCAAGGCTCGATCAGAAAAGTGGAAGTTTTTTTTTTAATGAGGTGTAAAATAGCAACGTGCGCACATTTCCGATGATGATATGATGATATGATGATATGATACAACCTTGTTAACTTAAAAACGACAAATAAATCTCGATAAATATACACTATAAAGAATGTATGGCAATCGAAAGAATCAAACTGAAAATATGTAACTACAATGTTTGATGTGACATTTTTAGCAACATATATATTTTTTTATTTTATAGCAATAAATAGTGAACTTGGAGGTAGCAACCCTTAAGAAAAACTACAGTTGAAAAGTATGATTACGCTTTTTATATATGGTGCAGAAACGATTATCAACTTGTGTTTAGCATGGCATTATTTTATTGTAGACATTCACCGATTGACGTTTGTCAATTCTGACAGTCACGTCAGTGAATGTATTCGTGTTGTTTTGCAAAAATATACCCAGAAACTAACGGTCGTAAAAAAAGTATAGTATGCAACAAGTTTGGTTAGTTAGGTTATTAGGTATTGTACAGACGGGAGTTGAAAAAACTCTTTATTTCACTCGTTAATTAAGCACTCGTTTCGCTCGTGCCAAATAAATTCCAACAAACAAATGCCGTTTACCACATTTATTGCATAAAATATATGTAGGTGTTTTTTTGTAAAAATTAGTAAAAACAAGTTTTTTTTGCAATAGTTTATTTATAATGAAAAATTAATTCGTTTTTTTTTTCTCTTAGAAATTTTCAATTAAATGCTCAAACTACCTACAAGATAGTTCCTTCTAGTGTTTAAAATTTTGCATTTGCGTTCACGACTGAACAACTATTTTGAGGGGTTCCTATTGCATCGCATTCTTATTAAAGCATTTCAGTACTTTAAAAATTCTTCACAGGAACTAATATTTAAGTAGAAAATAAAAATAAAATGTTGTCAATATATTATTTTCTACTCGCTTCTGTAAAATACCCAATTATCATTTCAGTGAATATATTCGTTTTGCACAAATGTACATAAAAACTATCAGTCGTAGAAAAAGTAACAATCTTTTGGTAATAGCATATTATGCAACAAGTGCGGCCAACGGCATTTGAGTATACCAAAAATGTTGCATACTGTAGTTTTCCTACGACCGTCACGAAAAAATCACAATTTAACAATTTACAAATAATAACAGATTATCGGATTACTATAGTATATTATGCAGCAAGTGCGGTAAACGGCATTTGACTCACGAGTTTATTTGACACGAGCGGAGCGAGTGTTAAAAAACGAGTGAGTCAAAAAGTTTACTGAACGTGTTGTATACTATACTTTTTCTAGGACGTCAAAAACGTCAAAATTAAAAGCGTGGGAAATATCTCCGAAAACATCCGATTGCTCCCAGACCCGTGCGTAAAATTCCGGAAATGTCCAAAGTGGCTCAGATTCGTGGGAAACGAAACTGATGTGGTAAAGCGACGCTTCCCGCACTCTAGATCGGTAGGTAATTGGGTATTTTACAGACGGGAGTAGAAAAAATTTCTTAACATTCAAACAACATATTTACCAGTTAGCATTAAACCTACTCGTTTATTGTTCCGATCGGTCCTGGTATTGTTGTCTCTTTTTAACTGTGTACATTTGACGGAGAGAGATGTATTATTGAATATGTCATATAAACAAAGGAATAAACACAACACAACGCAAATAGTATATTATACAACAAGTGCGGTAAATGGCATTTGACTCACGAATTTATTTGACACGAGCGGAGCGAGTGTTTATTAAACGAGTGACTTAAAAAGTTTACCGAACGTGTTGCATACTATGCTTTCTCTGCGACCGTTAGTTTTTGGGTACATTTTCTCAAAACATTACGAATACATTTACTGACATAACCTTCAGAATTGACAAACGTCAAAATTCAAGGCGTGGGAAACTTCTTCGAAAACATCCGATTGCTCCCAAATCCGATTGCCAAAAAATCCCTGGAAAACGAAACTGACGTGGTAAAGTGACGCTTCCCTCACGCTAGATCGGTGTGTAATTAGGCATTTTACAGACGGGAGTAGAAAAACTCGTTTATTAAACATTCGCTCCGCTCATGCCATATAAACTCGTAACTAAAATGCTGTTTACCACACTTGTTGCATAATATACTAGTTTCGTGCTGTTTCTGAATCCTAACGATTGTCAACATTTTCCCAGGTACCCTATACATAAATGTCTTAATACCTTATTTTATGTAAAAATATTGCATTCTATTATTTATGTATTTTAATTGTGTTTCTATTAATGAACTGTTCATACTTAACATATTTTGCTAATGGATGATCAAAATTTTGGATTATGTATGTAAATTATATGAATTTCCGAAGATAATATAAATACAATTAAATATATAACATGTATTTTATATAAATATTGGGCGCTTATTTTTTCAAGTGAAATGAATGAAATAAGTCTATCAATATTAGTATGTGGGAAAACACTGTCCAACACTCAAGGAAAGAATATAAAGCAGAGGAATTGTAATGTCAACATGAAGGAACTCCGGAGCAAGTCCGCCTAATTACGAACTAATTCTTAGGAATTATACGAAAAGTGTCAAGGAATTCCAGAGGAATTCTAAGAAATTTTAAATATTAAACGAATTACGGTTTGCACTTTTTCTTCTGGGGTGTATTTATGAATCGCCTCAAAGTTAATCTTTATTTTTATTCATTAAATTAATTACTTTAGTTGTATTTAAAAATACTACGATTTATAATCAGAAGTTATGTGTAACTTGAAGTGCTTTATAAAGAAATGTTCGTGTCCGAGCATCATTTTCTTGTTCAAAAAGAATAAAGGGTATTCGATTTTTTGTACGACGCTCGTCGCTTAACGGAACTACATAAAATTTGGCTGACTCAACTCGCGTATTCCAATTTCCCTCCCTAGTGTCGTATAAATTCGTCCAATAGACTCCCCGCCCCCGTATGCATTATTCCGTTTTATCGAAAAATCGCGATTTCCCCCTTCACCTCCCGACGAAACCGACAAGAAGCGGCGAGCCGTCGCGAATCCGAAGAAGAAATATTCGTACATACGTCGTGAATCCGCATCGTAACAAATAGAGCGAATTCCCTCGGAAACGGGATGTGCTTCTCGTCGGAAAAAAGCTGGAGCGACGGCACCCATATATAGGAATTGGGTTTGAGGCGCCACGCGGACGGCCGATCTGGAACGGGCTGCCATCGACTCCTCGAAGGGTGGAAAAATCGACTCTCGTTCAACGCCAGAGGATTTACGGTGTCGTTGCAGCTGCAAAAGAAATGGCGTACGCTCGTAACTTCCATCTAACTACGTTTTCAACGAACCATTAGACTTGTGTATAGTTTCTCTCTTCCCGAGTTGTACCACGGCGATTTATTTGTTTGTTTATTAAAGCTTGTTAAGCATTTGGTGCAAAGGGAGGAAAACTAGATGAAAAGAGATAAAAAAAGTCTATGTTTCCAAAGCAATTCAACAATTCTAACGGAAAAGTAAGCGGCTTAAGTTTTCTGTTAAATTCAACTTTGGTGTTAACTTAAAAAGTGTTATTCCTTTTCTTCCTTAGAGTTATTATATTGTATCTAAAATTTTATTTTTAGAATTTATATGTAATTCTTTAGTTTATATGGACTTTTTGTATTTATTAATTGCTCCTCTATAATTTTTATATGAGTGAAACACGAATAAATGGGCGTTTAAATAAAAAATAAATATAAAAAACATATTTCAACAAAAAGACTGAAATAGTTAGAATGAAAATTAAATTAGGTATGGAGCGGTGAACCAATTGTTATTGGGATTACATAATATAAGGGATCCATTATGGTAAAAATTGGTGCGCCTCGGATGGCTTTGATGCCTTAGGCAATTTTCTTTCTAAGCAGCGAAATCCATACACTTAACTCGTTTACCCTGAAGATTTAGAGATGTCGACGCATATTTTGAGAAAATACTGCCGTAAAAATGCCGCATCCTAATTTATTGACATGTTAGCGGTCATGTTGGTTGTTGGAGGTTGGAGGTCAAGGTCGTGTTGAATGGACGTTCTCAAAAGCATCTCTAATAGCTATATGAGATTTTGTTTTAAATAATAACAATATTCGCCGCAGTATATTTTATTGTACATATATTATTTTTATATTATATCCTTCTTTGGAACAATTGAAGAAAAATTATTTCGATACTGGACGCGTTGCCAGCTAGAATGACGAAATAAAATTGGATATATGTGTCTATGTTTTTCAATGTTTTAAAGTATGACCAGTGTTTGTATTGGTTACACAAATCCGTCAGTTTACAGTATTATTGTCGAACTATCCTTCAATAAAAAAATTAAAAAGTAACTGGATGCATTATGTCATCAAATTTAAAGATGGTGTTATTCAAAAGCATCGACTTGAATTTAACTAACTTTTCTAACTTTTCTTTTGAACATAGTACCTCTCTCTATTAAGGATAAATTTACATGAAAAATATGCATTGTTGATTGTGAAATCAATAAAAACGGCTTATAATCTGTTGCAGGAAACATGAAGAGCGATCTTGTTGAGACAAAGTGACTAACTGGTGATGAAAAGTTTTTTCACTATAATTTACTAAATAATGCCGATGTCCGAACAAAAATTGGTACCTGGAGATTTTTTGACATCGGAAATTTGAATTTGTTTTTAATTTAGCTCTTACTTACATATTACTGGAAGGTATATGTTACCTACATATCTTTTTTCACTTTCGAATGCGAACGACGGCATATTATACTTTCGGTAAAAAAAATTAAAAATATCAGGGTTAGTGCCTTTTATTTCTGTTGTAATGTGATAAATACAAACTTAATACAGTTTTGATGTATAGTTGATGTAGTATGTAACTGTCAAATATTCGACACTTCTTAAATAACACCATTTAAAAACTGTATTTGAATTCAGTCTAATATTCTTTGAAAAGCTACCATTTTAAGGTCCGTTTCATAATTCATTGTAAATTCATGTTTAAACTTCACATTATTTCTTATCCTCTTACTAGCAAAAACACCTATTAAAACAATTGTACTCCTTAATATCTGATAATTATATATTTATATTATTTCTGTATAATCCATTTAATAAGGCATCGCCTAAAAATAGACTTTCAGCTTTTTACGATAATGTAAAGAAAGTAATGGAACCAACCCGTCGGTCGGTCGTACAAAACAATGAACAAACAAAATGGCAAACTTTATTCTACGATAGCCGAATTTAGACGGTCTCACGCATCCGGCAGCTGTAGATATAGACTCAACATTTAAGTTTAATTAAATCCATTCGAAGGCCATTAGGCTCCGGTCTTCGCGCAAATTATACGCCAAATCGTCCGAAATAATTGAATTAGGAACGACAATTAGTTAAAGTATTACCTAAATAAATTACAGTGACGTTGCTCGACGTTGAACCCTTGACATTTAATCGGCAAGCAGTGTCGAGTCCTTTGCTGAATGCCCGACGAACAGGAGACACTGCAGGAGGACCAATCGCTCCATTTGCTCCAGCCTGTAAAAATTAAAAGAGCGCGACACGCGCCGGAAATAATGATCAGCAATGACGACGACGTAGGGATCCCCTTCACTTAATTGGGAAACAAAAAATTGAGTTAAGGAACGAAAAATGTTTTTCAATTTTAAGACTTCCTTATTTTAATTAAATCCAGAAAATATTAAATAAACTAAATCAAATGTAAATTACAAATTACCATTAAGTCCATTGAATATTGAGTCTTGGATTAGAAACAGAACAAAATATATGCAGATTGTTGAGCTTAAAATATCTAGATTTAAAGCAAATCACTTAGATAAAATGGAATTATTATTTTTGCCCAGTACTTTAGAACTATTTGACGGATCCTTGTCGTACTTGGCGGAAAGTATACGATTGACGATCAATAAAAGTTTCTGAATACTACCCAAGGCGAACGACAGGGATAAGTGCCTGGCTTTAGTAAAATTTCTTTGATTCTCCAATAGTTTGTATGTAAATAAAATACTTTTGGAGATATTTATCGTTAAATATAAAGTTGCAGAATTATCTGGATGTGATTAGGCGAGTTTTTGTGCGCAACATTTTAAAACGTATATTCTGTAGATTCTGCATATAATATATCTCAAATTATTAATAAATCACTTTGTATAACATTCATTTGAAAAACAGTTCACACATGCAGTGAGAATTTTGTTTTTGATTTAAATGATTTTTTATTGACACTGGATAAAATATGATAGTTGAAACTAATTTCTCTTCGGAATCACACCCTGTATTATTTATATATAATTAAAGAACACCCTTTCTATGTGTTAACAAGTACTATTAAGAGTATGTATGGAAGGTAAAATTCTCAACTAAAGATTTGGGAAAAAAATTTCATAACCAAAGTTTTTCGTTTATATTTAACTTCGTCTGCTTCGTATAAGAAAAATATTTTGTAATATCACTTGGCAAGTTCATTTTACCCATTTTACTCATTTGACTTTACTTTATTTTCTTCAAAAGTAGTTTTTTCTGAGTTATTTTCTGATGATGGGCCAGTTTCGAGAGGATTTGATGATTTTCGGTATGTCTGGTGTTGCCTAAACTCTGTAAGAAAAGCAAGAAGGAGAATTCTCACCTTTAAGACGAAAATGTGGTAAACAATTTTTGTAATGTTGCTCCAAGTAAGATTTGATGCACTTTTTAATTATTAACTAGTGGGAGGCGCTGGCGGAAATCCAGGTAACGAGTACTATAATATCGTAAAAATAAACAATACGGGCCAATTCAGCATTGAATATTTTGATCTTAGCTTACGTTTTTTGCATTTTTTTTGTATCTCTTACGGTTTTAGGGTTAGTTTAAACATTCATGTAGCCTTAATTACGGTAGTTACAGCAATAATAATCGTCGTTTTGACAAAATATTGAGAAAATCTGAGGATCTCCGCCAATTCAAAAGTTAAAAATGGACGTAAAGTCCCCTGTTTTTAGTACAGCCAAAATATCAAAAATCAAGAATAAAGAATTTATAGGGAATGTCTCAAAATACTATGATATCAATGACCTCCTAGTTCGAAAACAAATTGACGTATCATTGATGACGTGTGAAAAAATAAAAGCTGTTTTTAGTAATTTATTTTTTCACCACGTCAATTGGTTTTCGAACTAGGAAGTCATTGTCATATCATAGTATTTTGAAACATTCCCTATAAATTATTTATCCTTGATTTCTGGTATTTTGACTTTTAAATATGCCAATTTGTTTTACACAAGCAATGTTTTGCTTAGTTTTATTAATTAATATCTTTAACGTTTCTTTAAAAATCGGGAATTGTCAGAAATAGTAAGGTTATAAGGACTTTTCTAAATTGCATACTTTTAAAAATTTCCCTGTAGTTCAAACACGAGTTTACGTATCACGACGTGGTTTTCATTCCATCCAAATTGGGCTTCCCTTGTATAGATAAATCTTGGCTAAAATTTCAAATTTAAATTCGTTGTGTAAGGGGTTTGTTCGTGGTAAATTCTGACTGGAGATATGGAAACATTTTTTATAAAAAACACCCTAGGCCTACAGAAAGAAGACCGACGGCTTTTTCTTTTCAATTTATAATTAACCCTTATTTAGTGATAACTGCAACATAATTCCTGAAACCAACTCGTATAAAACGGCAGGTTAAACTAAGACTTCTCCGACCGATTTAAACCTTCTTTGATACAGTTTGTTTTCCACGCTTCCCGAAAATCCTTTAAAAATGACGGGTTTTATATCTCGGATATCTTTCGTTCGTCGTCAACGCCTTGTCATTTTCTAATTTCGTCTTCCCTTGGATTCTATTATCGGGCCTCGTTGAAACCCTTATCGCGACGAGACGGACGCGCGTGTCCGCGAAAAGAATCCCCCCGGGGAGCAACGAGAGATTTATTACTACCCCCCGTTGAAAGTAATGCCCTTGTGAATTACCGCGCGGGCGCGCGCGGATGGTGGGAAGCTTTTCTAGGTATAATAGGCATAAAAAGCCAAAGTCCAAGGGAAGTTAATGAATTTAATCTAGTATGGTCGGTTAAACTAGTTGATCTTTTCTTTCTGAAAAGAACCGGAATCGTCGCTAGCGAGATTACGATCCGGCCTTTTCGGAATTCAAAAGGCAAAGTAAAATTGGGTAATTAAAAAAGTTGTGTTAACTGCAATTCACGGCATTAATGAATATTCGAATATTTAATTCAAAGAGAGACACCCAATAAATTTTAAATATCGGTGGAGGAGGGGAGAACTTGATGGCAAATACTTATGATAGTGTATTCCGACAAAAATATTTGAAGTACTACGCAACTCTATTGGTGACTTTACAGGAAAAAATATTGAACTACTTTCGTGTTTTCGTTGTACGGTTTATGTTGTTATCGCTTGCAAAATGGTTCGTTAAAAATCGTTGGCTATTCAGTGCTTTCATGGATTCATCCCAGTGATCAACATTAAAGGAAAAGCTTACTGTTTTCAAATCCAACTGACACTGAAAGCAAGCACACTGTAAAAATATAGGTAATTTCATCGAAAAATATTGTCCTTCTATCATTTTCTACATACCACACACTACAAAAATCGATAACAGAGCAACGAATAATCCTTTTTTGTCGCTTATGGTGGTAAAATGCGCTGTTCAAAGGTTCAAAGGTTACATGAAAACATTATGGAATACTTCCAAACGTCCATGTGTGTTTATTATCAGCAGCGTCACCATCGTGGAATAAATTGCCGGATATAGTCTGTTCATAGATATAAGAGTGGCCAATTGCGTTTGAATGGGATTATCCAAGTGTGGTCATTAACATACAATGCAACAAGATTATTACCTAAAATTTCTAAATTTAAATTCAGGTAAAATTGTGGTCCGTAATAGAAAATAATTTTGTACCTACCTGTGTTTAATATTCTTTGGTTTGGTATACTACTTAGTTTAAGTTTATTAGTAATCATTCTTATTTCGTGTGTAACACAGAGTGTGTTGAATCGTGTGCGAATTATGCAAAATATGTGCAAGTCTAGTGTATCTTAGGAGATGCGCGCGCCCAAATGTAGGAAACACTATTCTATTGAGACTAAGGAAGTTATAAACAATATTTATTTGACTCTCATTGAACGTGGTGCCAGCAAGCAAGCATCTTTAAAAGAAACGGCCACATTGACAAAAATTCCAACATCAACTGTATGGGAACTTGTGAATAATCCCATTTCAGCGAGGAAAAAAAGAAACGATGCTGACATTTTCGCGAGTGTAGATGAAAGTGATCAAGATATAATACGGCGTAAAATTTACCAGTTATACGAGGAACAAAGCGTGCCTGTATTAGATATCTTAATTAGGACTCTTGAAAAAGATGAAATCGGTGTTAAATGTGGCAGAACTACCATATGGAAGTGTATTCAACACTTACTTGGATGAAACCTGGTTCGACACTTATGATACCCCGGAAAAGGGTTGGGTTGACTCAACTGATAAACAAAACAAACGCGACATCTGGATCTAAAGATGGTTGGATTCCAAATGGACTTTCTCTGTCTGCGAAAAATATTAAAGATTCTTCTCTGGATTACCATGAAGACCCCACCGCTGATTTATTTGAAGGTTGGTTTAAAAACAAACTAGTTCCACACATTCCTCCTAATAGCGTCATTATAATGGACAATGTAAGTTATCACAGTAAACAGTTGATTAAAACCCCTTCCTCATGTGACACAAAAGCAACAATCCAAAACTACATGTATAATAACGACATTTATTTTCAAAAAAATCAATTAATTGAGGTTCTACAAAGCTTGAACCTACAAAAGCAATACGTCTGTGATAATTATGCAAAAACTCTAGGGCATACAGTTTTAAGGCCTCCACCTTACCACTGTATATTTAATCCTCAATGTCCTCAAACTTATAGAAACGGAAGTTTTTAACATCCCTCTACAAAGTTGGGCAAATTTTATTAAACATATAGAAAAAGCAGAACAATCGTATATCCATATTGCAAATAATATAGAACAAATAATAATTAGAACGGGTGATGATAGCGATAGTGATACTGATATATTAAAAATATTAAAAATATTTTTTAATTTTATTTTAGATTTAAACATAAATACATACATAAACAAATAAATATTGTTTAGTATCTTTCCTAACAAAACCCCAAATAATTAAATTCTAAGCAAAGTACGGACCTGTTCGGCCATATTTCATTTTTACAGCTTGCCCGGGTCTTTCCTTAATTCGTATGAGTTAGTCACTTTCTTATATCTATGAACAGACTTTACCTAGCATATAACGTTCAGCATTCAGAACGTTGCATTTAGCTGCTTCTTTTTATAAAGAATATCCCAAATTGGATAAACTAAAATATCTAGACGACATAAAATGTTGTGCTCTACATCTTAAAATTATTCTCATGGTTGCAAAGTTGCTATCTCATAACAACTATGGAATTTTGTAGATGTTTATTTTTACGTTCTTCGCAAAATACTAAATTTGTTATCCGTACGATGCGTGTAACTAATTTCCATTCAAAAAAGTTGAAAGTTAACTTCTAAAACAATTGTGGATAAATAAATAAGTTTGCTCATAAGAACAGCCGCTATCTAATACAAATAGTGTCAACTACATCCTAGGAGTATTACAGTTTATTAGTTAAATCCAAAAGTTTGAAGGTCTTTAAGAAAAAGCTTTAATTTAGCAACATATATCTTCCATTATAATTCCAAGTTTTTATTAGAAGATTCTGTATTTTCTGATCAAAATGGCTAGCTAATGAGAAAATTTATTGAAAGGTTTTACATAATTTTTCAAAGAAACTTCCACAGGCTACTGTAATACTTTTTACGAAACTTCTGGATTCCTCCTGCGTCGGTTTTTGCTAAAGCTGAACAGTTTCAGTCAAGCCCTGAAGAAGCTAACGGGATGATTGGCGAAACGTCAGCAATTTCGACTCAGCAAAAACCGACGCAGGAGGAATCCAGAAGTTTTGTAAAAAGTAAGGTGTTACATATTGCTATACCCATATGCAGTGGTTTTGGTTGTTTTAAAACACCGATTCCATCAAAAAAGCTACTAGATTCCCATTACAAAATAAATAAGAAGTAAAAGTTCAGATTTTCACGAAATTATATATTTTGACATGACAGTTGTTTCAAATGATCAATTTTATAAAGACACGGTGTTGTCGAAATAATTATCATGGCAAAATATATAATTTCGTGAAAAAATAAACTTTTAGTTCTTATTTATTTTGATAAATGGATTTTCATCAAGTAAAAGCCACCTCAGTTCAATATTTGATATATTTATTTTTATGCCTTTGATATAAAAAACAAGCTGTATGTTGTATAACTTTTTCCATGGTAACCTAGTTATTTTGGCAGGATTAGTTTTTTAGGTGTAGTAAAATGTAGTTAATACAATTCCATAGAGTTTTGGTTACTTTTCATTCTGACTGTAGAATAGAATAGAATAGAAAATTACAGCTTTTTGATGAAATTAGTTTTTAAAATGCCACAGCACCATAATCTGTAGGTTGATTTCACTTAAAATTCTAAGGGTATTATGACATTTAGGGAGATCTTGAGACTTTCGTTTAAAAACTTGGGGAACAAAACAAATTTTAAATAATGTCCGAATCGAAGTTCGCGACCTTTCTCTCACGAAAGGTTCTGTCGCATTGAAAAACCACCCCAAACAATAACCCGCGGGGTTTTTCCTCGGCATAATAACTTTCCCGTTAGCAAAGTCTTTGATGTACATTCTGCTCTAACTACTCGAAAAAGAACACGGGTACTTCATAGCCCGGAGTTTAAATTACAAGGGGGATGCGACGATCACAAGGCGAAGGTATATAGCAAAATATAACAAAGGATCTTCGCCATAAAAGAAAATGCCTCTTACCATATTGAAAGCATTTTCATGGGTAAATGTTTAAGAAATTCTCAGAAAATCCAGTGCAATCGCTGGATGGGCGGCAGCGGAATGATGAATTATAAACGAATATAAAATTATGCAAATAAAAAACGCCACTTCGTCAAATATTCACCAACCTAATGAATTCCAGACCCTCTCGTCTACGTCGTCGTCCCACTTGACGACCCAAGTGGCCCGAATCTCACCCGCGACTAAGTTCCCGAAGATGATGTATTCACTAGGAACGTCACTACTTCCTGCACAATCTCTTTGGGGCTGAATGGGAAAGTCGACATTGATTTTCCTGAAAGAGAATTAGAACGGTCTAATAAAAAATGCTATCGTCATTCCAACCCTCTTACGAAGATTTCTTTTACAGCTACTTCTTTTTACTTTAATAAAAGCTACCGGTCTGCAATCAAATCGTCCCTGAAAAAATTATGTCATAAATATATAGATTTTAGTGCGCTGAATTTGTTCCAGTTGGACGATATTTCCTATCACGTCTAGATTTTTCCGTGTTTTTTTTTAAATATCACAAATTTAGTTTTTTTTAATTCATTTTATGCGTTAACATCATAAACAGTGTACTGTGAACTCCGGCTATAAAGTACCCTCTAGGGACCAGAAGATGAGTACTCTATATAAGAGGAAGTACGCTATAAAAAATCCAAAAAAAAAAAGATGTAGGTAAGTACATATTTTTATTTATATTACATAATAAAACTAACAATCACTAATGTAGATACTAAAAAACGACAGAAATGAAACTACCTAAACTAAAAACTTATGTATCTATATAAACTTTACAACAAACAAGTAAAAATACATTATTTTTATTCTTTTTGAGTAAAAAATTCGTTATTTTTGTTTGTTTATTTTTTCTCAATACAAATTTCATATTCTCGCTGCTTTTCAAACTTCCATGATGCTTACATAATATCCGCCGTTACATTATTATTAGTAGATCGTAAAAAAATTGTAATAATTTTAGCTGCACAAAGAGCTTCAGAATAACTTGGAACTTCGTCCTGTTGAACACCATCATCGCTTTCGTTACTAGAGCTTTGAGGATCATTTGGCTGTAAAACTTCAGTAATTTCATTATTCGTTAATAACTCCGTTGTTATTAAATTGTCATCAACATTTGGGAAGCTATCCAGCTCAGGAAGATATATTTCATTGTTGGTTAGATCTTGGCTGCTATTGCGCAACTAATTACTTAGGGGAATCTCCCAGTCATCGTCTTCATTATTTTTGTACTTCTCGAACCACTCAACCAGAGGTAAGTCACCGTTTGCATGTCGAAAGCAGTTTGAAATAGTGGAAGATTGTGCAAGCAATTTTGTGGAGGCTAAAATGGTGATGTTGAAAAGTTCCTTATTTTCAAATGACTGGATCAAACGATACGAAAAATATCTGCGGTAATATGTCTTAAGGCATCTTATTTTGCCCTGATCCATTGGTTGGACGACTGAGGTGCTATTTGGAGGCAAACACTCTAATCTGATATTTGAAAGGATTATATTTTTTGGATGAGATGTACAATTTTCAACCAGAAGCAATATTTTTCTATTCTGACTTTTTAGTTTTTTATCCCAATCCTTTGAATAATTATAAAAAAAACTGCTGAAGTCATCCACGCTAGCTGGCTTGACTTATAAATGATAGGTAGATTTCTCACATTTTTCATGCATCTCGGTCGTTCATCTTTACTAATAACAAGAAGTTTCCATTTTTCGCTTCCTGTCATGTTTGCACAAATCCAAACAGTGTATCTCAACTTCGATTGCTTCCCACCCAAACACTTTTCTCCTTTAAATTTAAGGGTACGACCTGGAGTTATCTTGTAAAATAGCCCAGTCTCGTCACCATTGAAAATATCCTCAGAGCTGTAATTTTGTGCAATACTGAGCCACTTATCCTCCAACCAGTTCAGCACAGCTTGTTTGTTAACATCTGCTTCACCAGAACCTGTAGAACCACTAAAATCCTGACCCTGCAATCCCCTTTCTTCGGCTTTCAATTTCAGAGCTGGACCATTTATTGCAATATTTTCGGATCTTCGAACTTGAAACCATCATAAAAGAGCTTTATCTATATCTGAACGTACAGGACTTCCAATGTTTTTAATCCTGTGCGAATTACAGTCGCTCGCTTTCTTGATCTTTTCGCGATTACTTCAAATTGTAGATATTGTTGTTTTTGCCAATTTCTTTTGTCTAGCAATTTCCGCCTTACCGGTGATACTCTCAATACTTCCGATAATCTCTATCTTTTCTTTTACAGTTAAAGACTTGCGCCGATCCGCCATTTTAACCACAAACTCAAAAAATCCGCTCACCACCACCGCTCGATAATCCGGCTCGTACTTTATAACCAGAACACTAGTAAAAATATTGCACTTTATAACCGTAGTAGAAGTTATATATGGTACGTAATATCTGATGAAAAATTAAGAGCATTTTGGCAGGACCAGCAAAATATGTACATAATACCCAGAAGTACTTTATATCCCATGTACGTTATAATGAAGTTTACTTTATATACATACAAAATAGATTTGAACGAGTTGTAAAATAAAGAAGAAAAGTGCAGAATGCGATTTTTATGGTAGTATGGTATATGCGCTTTCGCAGTATTCGCTGAAAATTTGCATAATTTGTCTTTTAATTGTTTACGTTCTGTATCAAATATTTTGGTAAGTTTTGCATAAATTTCATATTCTCTATATTTTTGTTAAGTATTTTATATGTAGTTCATGTACAGAGCCAATAAAAATAAAATAGCAATTGCAAAACTTTTCTAAAATGAATTTCATTTCATCATAGGTTATAGAATACCGCGAAATTGTCAGAATTCTACATACCGTTTTTGCCACATTTCTGGTGATTTTACTCTAAAAATGCAGCGAAATGTCCTGACCGACCTCGTTAAAACGGCTTATCAGCTTTATTTTGGATTTTGCTATCGCTGAGAGGGATAAAAGTTTGCTTCCAAAAATATGCTGTAACAGTTGCTTAAGAAGTTTGAGAGGTTGGCTTGAAAGTAGTCACAAATCTATGCCGTTTACAATGCTAATGTTTTGGAGTGAACATACACGAGGATTCCCGAAAAAAAATAAAAACAAGATTATATCGCATCGCATCTGCAAAGAGAGCAATTCCTCGTGGGGAAGGCACCGTACCTCCAGTTCCACCAAAAAATGGAAAATTAAAAAATACTTGACCTTCATCTACATCTGGATCTTCAATTCCATCGAAAGAACCTCAATCACTTAAACAATGCGAGTTCATGTGATTAAAACAGTGGAATTTGTTGGATAAAAGTACAAGAGTCGCAAATTTTCTCACAAGACAAGAAGATTTCACTAGAGTTACTGTTCGTAATGATGCTGCCGGGCTTCTTCAAGAACTTATTTTTCCAGAAAATTCTGATTAATGGAGACTTTTTAAGGATGTCTCAATGATAAGTTTGAAAGCTATTTTATTCCATAATGGTAATAAATACCCATATTATATTTGAGCTGGTTAAAAGCTGGTTAAAAGCTGATTAAAAGTTCAGTTGTTTTCTACGCGAGTGAGACAGCCCCCCTAGAGAAAAACATTACAAAGTCAAAACTTGACCACTAAGGAAAATTTATCTGCCCCCACTTCACATAAAGTTGGGACTCACGAAAAACTTTGTGAAAGCTATGAACAAGGATGGTGAAGGCTTTCAATATCTGAAAACAAAATTTTCTCGAATCAGTGACGCAAAATTGAAAAAAGGAATTTTTGCAAAGTTGAACAATGCAGGAAAAAGAGCTTGGGTGGCTTTTGTAAATGTATGTCATAGTTTTCTTGAGAATACAAATCAGAAACAAATCATCCGAGGGCTTCTTTCTGCTTATAAAGTTTTAGGATGGAATATGTCACTTAAAATTTATTTTTTGGACTCCCATGCAGATTTCTTTCCTGAAAATCTCGGTGCCGTATCAGATGAGCTTGGTAAGAGGTTCGTTCAGGATAATATACAAATTGAAAGATGTTACAATGGAAAATGGTCAGCAGCAATGCTTGCTGATTTCTTTTGTTCGATTAGCTGAGAAACTCTGATGCAAACGAAAAGAAAAAAAAACTAAATAGTAATTTGTCTTTTATTACCATAAAGAGATTAATACACTGATATTTTTATAACTTAGTAACATAAGCATTTTTCACTGTAAAAGTTAGACCGTAATATTTTTTAATTTTTTTATAATTGTTGTTACTTTTATTATTTCGTTTTTCAAGTAAATGGGCATTTTATTCACAATCTCTGTGCTGTACGTATTTACCTATTGAATGCCGTGTTCAGAGCACAAAATATGATGAAATTCTCAGAATAATGATGACCTCGAATAAAAAAAAATCAGATTAGATTTTGCAGTCAATGTTTTTTAGATTAAAGTTCTTAGCTAATGGAGTACTAATAATTCTCATTTGAAATGTAATTTATTTTAATTTAATTTACTACAATGTACAAGTTTTTCGAAGTTTCCTATTACAAGTTCAGGTTTAGAGTATTGTATTTTTATTTGATCACGGCGTTTCACAAAATTTTTGATAAAAACTGTCAGGTAATGGAAAATCTAATGAAGAAAACTGAAATATTGCAAAAAAGTCGTATTTCAGTTAATTTTTAAATTACTTTGACTATAAGGAGAATTTCAAAAAACCAAAAAAAAGAATATTTTAACAACTCTTCTTGAGCCATGTTATTTGACTAAACTGCAAATTTGTAAATTTATGAACCAGTCAGTTTTCTATACAACAATTATCTGTTAAAAACTTAAGAGAGAAAATTAAACGACCAAAAGGTATACCTCCTGCCCTAGTTGAAACTATAATTGTCCATTATTGGTATAATACAAGCGATAATAAAAGAAATAACAGGTACGCTAATGACATTCCCAGTATTTGTGTAAGACTACGATTCCACGCTTAATAACTATTTTTCGTTTATTTTATTTATAGTTAAAATTATTATGTAGTAATATACTTGCTGCTTTGGATATCTTTGTCATCAGAAACACTGAACCTTATTTCGATTTTGACATTTATAGGAAGGAAAACAATATAAAATGGAAAATGCTTCAATTTCTGATTCATTGACTTATTGTATAAATCAATGACTTAAAGTTCTCGAAGGCCCGATCAACATAGAAAATTAGATAAATTTAAAAAGCTGTGGATTATGAAATATGGTCAAATGACTGTAGCATAAATTAGTAATAATAATAATAAGTAATAATAATAATAATAATAAATGTGTAAATAAATTAGGAGTTAAATATGTATACGTTTAAAGACATTTATATCAATTAATTAGACACTCGTCGTACTTTCTCTAGTTCACTTCAAATTATATAAAGATTTAAATCTAATCTTTCTTGTTTGCCTAGAATAAATGTTAAATAGGCTAATTTGTAATGAGACATAAATCCAGTTTAGGAAAAGCGAATTTTAAGAAAAATGCAATAATAAACCCAACGTATATGCAGTGAATAACGAACAACCGAAACAATAAGAATTAACCACTCGAACCCGGGACTTCTAATTCGAATCACATCCGATACTGAACTATTTAATTAAAATCCAACCCTCGTTCTATCCTAGATCGAATCTAAATCCTTCTAACACACACATTTCGCTCGCGAGCAGACGCCCGTTTGGGGAATTTAATTTAAACTCACCTATAATAATTGTTGTCGGCGCTCCAGATCTTCATCAGTCCGTCTCCCTTATACGTGTTTATCAAATCAAAGCAGGCCACGAAAACGCCTCGCGAGTCGTCGAACGTCGTTTCGGGTGACGCCGACGTCATCCCGCGGAAGGCGATTTTGGAAAAGGCGGCAGCCTCTTCGACACTGACTTGCTTTTTCACGAACAGTTGCTCGAAATCACAGCCGTTCACTAGACCAATCACCATCACTAAGGCGGTCAGTTTTTGAGTAAGCGCCGGCATTTTTTTTTTGGGAATTTATTCGGTTTGGAGTTATTTATGCATCACAGATTTGCTTCGGTGAGTAGTCGGTATCATTATTGACTGGGTTAGACATAGACACCTGATACGTTGAATGCTGAAGCTCGGCAGACAAGTTTAATAGCGTTGGCTAAGAAAAGGTATACTTCGTTCTTTAGGAAATAATAATAATTACAATAAGTCGGCTACTTATATTTAAGCAGACATTATCTAGCTACTAAGCACTAGTTTTTATTAAATGCAGGTTAATAACCTGGAATTATAAGCTATTTGCTGGTTTTTAAAAAGTATATGATAGAGTAGGTGTCAATTCTATCCTTAAAACCATTTGAAAAACATCTAGTGATGATGATTTTCTGCAAAAAAGTACTTGAGCCAGTCTTCTAATGCACATATTCAACCACTATCGTCAAAAATTAATTTTGTGGAATATACTGCGAAATTTTAATAATTTCTGCTGGACAATCGGAAGGCCAAAGTAACAATTTTGGACATATTCAGAGATAACTGTAGTAAAGTTATTTAAAAAAATGCCACTTGCTTGAAATTTTCCAAAAAATTACAATCTTATAGCAAATACCGTTTTTAGTTTCTAGACTTCCAGCTTCTAGCCGCGTTTTTTTTTCTGCATGATTTTTTTTAAATTGGGGTAGTCTAAGAAAACTACATAACCATAAGATACATCTGTTCAGTTCAGTTCAGTCAAGTACAAATATTAGCTGGTGTTAAATGAATCCTTTATAAATTTAATCTGTCTTCGGTTGTCAATGATCAGAAAACAATATTAGTCTAAACACAGTAATGCCTATCACTGTTTTTTAAGTGGATTTTATTTATCTTGCCTAATTATTCTGTTGCATTAAATATATATATATATATATATATATATATATATATATATATATATATATATATATATATATATATATATATATATATATATATATATATATATATATATATATATATATATATATAACGAAATTTTATATGTTTTCTTTATTAAATCACTAAACAATTAGGTAAATAAAAACAAAAAAATAATAAATAACAATAACAAAATATCAGCGATAAAAATCCATTAGGTACATGAAACTCAGCGAGAAGGTTTCGAGGATACCAAAAGGAATAAAATTCAACAGTTAAAAGTTATATTATAAGGCCACAACTCCAGTTGGGAGGAGCTTAGTGCATATGAAATAAATATTGTACCGATGAGCTATTTGAAATGTATCACTCGAAGTTTCAGTTACATTTGAGCGGTTGAGTTGGTAGCGTATAACATACCCTATAAAGACATAAACAATTAAAACATGTTTCATTATTTTTACTTATTAACAAGACATGTGCGAAAAGTTTAAAGAGGTGATTCTTTGTCGCAAATAAGGGGTAGTTTGTTATATAAAGGTTTTCTATCAGGTTTCGATATGCATCACTTATCTCAAAACTGCGCCGCGCCGGCACAACATATACAGGATGTTTTATTAAACATGCACCAACGCTCGGCTGGAGATTCGTAGTAAAAAAAGTCTGTTTAGTTTCTAAGGTTATAAACGAGTCTTTTACAATATGCGATTATGCTGAAATTGGGAAAGTCCCGTTCTAATGATAAAGGGCTAATTTTGCTGTATCCATGTTAAAATTATGAATATCAGTGCGGCAGCAAATTTTTTGTCATTTATTTTGAATGAAAACAACTACCATCAGCTTAATTGTTAGGATCATATTTGTATTTAAAAAATATAAACCTCTATATAAAACTCGATATAAAAATGAACAAGGTGTTTAAAAACAAATGCAAAAAACTTAAGAGGGTGATTACTTGTTTCTAATAAGGGGTAGTTTGTTACATAAAGGTTGGATCAAAAGCCAACCATTAGAGGTATATCGCGCAAGAAATATGGCGGGAAAACAATGTTTTTATTTTTTATCTTAAAAACGATAATGAATAAAAGAATAAAATATTTCGTACTATAAAAAACCACTTTCTGCACATTGTTTTTGTTTAACGAATAGAAGGAATTAAATATATTTTTTTACTTTATGTTTTATGTAAAATGAAAAGCGAATGGCAAAACAAAATAGAAAAAATAATTTAGTTGGGTGCTGTCAGACTTATATTTTGTACTCACATTTATCAATTATCTTCTAAACTGTTACATAGTAAAAATAATTTATTGATAATCGTTTCTGAAATTCATTCATGTATTCATGTGTAAACTATGAATAACCCCTCCATTCAAAACATTTTATTTAAACAATGTAACTCGCATAAAAGCAAAACAAATAAGTGTTGAAAATGCCTGCGTTGCGATGCTGCTTCCAAGAAATTTCTGGTTACACGCCCGTACATAAAATGCATATCTGCCATTTCTGCGTCTATCAATTAAATGGTGAGATAATAAATTTTTTATGAAATCAGTAGTATTTTTTATATTCAAACTAAGTAAGCAATGTCAAAAAGTGTATTTTGCATATAATGCATAATAATACCTCCGCAAAATTTTATTTTCTATATATTATCGTTTTTAAGATAGCAAATAAAAACAATTTTTTCTCCATATTCTTAGGTTGAAATAAGTTGGAAACCATAGCAAACCAACGCTTATATAAACATTTTCTCTTTATTTGAGCCACCCTGGATATTTTTAAACATTATCGCCGCTTCGCGGTTGCGCAAATTTTCAAAATATTCCCGTTGCCCTGAAACAAATCTACAAATCTTTTTGCAGGATATTAAAGTGACTGTCGTTAATCTAAGCGCCAAAATATCCATCGTCATTTATTTTTCTGCGGAGGGGCAATTCGGTACATAAGTACTTATATTAAAGTGAGGAGATAAGGACAACATTCTCAAGTAGTTAGATACTAGGACGTTTTAAAAAAACGCTTTAAATTGCAAAAATTTTGATACGGTTCAAAGACACAACAACAATGAGGAACGATAATAACAACTAAAAACAACATTAGATAGATATCGCTAGCTGGTTTTTTTGCTGTGGTATTTGGAATTGATTATTAACCAAGATATTAATTGTGAATTATAAAGTCATTGAGCCAAAACTTTTCCCATCTAACTTAGGAGAGATGTTTTTTATTGTCGCGCAAAAATCAAAAATCTTGAAATCTCTTTATATATTATAAAATAAGACCACTATGAAAAATCATCAAGATATCTTGGGCCCCACCACACATCAAATTTCTAATACGAAATTTCTCTTCACGCCAAAATCAAATCGGTCATGATTTGGTGAGAGATATTATTGTAGTATATGGCAAAAATAAACGAATTCAAATATCGCAAAGAAACCTGACCAAAACATAACATTTGCTGCGGATTCTAGAGCCAACAGAAATGCTGATTAGGTATAAAATTAATTTATATTTTATTGTTGCTGATGCGATACTTTTTTTTTCAATAACAAGTAAAAACATTGTATTACCGGGAGTGCCCTCCAAATACCACTCAAGGAGTTACTGAAAAATTTCGCCAAATAAACCACTGCCTGTGGTTATCTAAGCTCAAACAAACCCCTCTTAACCACAATAACCACTCGAAACGCACGTCTGCGACTCCGGGCTGCTGCGAACACCGGATGAAATCTCGACCGATTCTCACCACTCCCGGCGTGCTCTGGCGCCATACAATATGCTCTAGCTGCCAGCTCTGGAACATAAAGATAGAGTTGACGCGCGCATGCGTCATTTCGAACGTGCTAATTTACATTTAAACAACATTTCATTATGTACTTCTATCTTCAGTGTTCAGTGTTTGCGAATGTTGGCAGTTGTTTTAAAAAGTTTTCCTCGCTTCTTGTATTATAAGATGAAGGACAAATGGATGCATTGGTGCTTATTAAAAAAAAAGTTTTTTGGTCACGTTATCTAAACTTGCGTGCATAGAAGCCGACCCATTGGGAATTTTTGACTCCCATTTCATTTTTTTTAGAAACTACTGATCAGATAAAAAAATATGCTGTTTGAAAGACAATTTAATATGCTTTAATACGATTTAAATTGATTAAAATTTATTTCTGCTTTTTAGGTTTAGCATAGTAAAATAACTGCACGAGTCAAAGTAACTTTTGTTTATTACTAAAAACAAATAGGGTTATTGACAATTAGCAACCCAACACTTATTTTTTATTAATGGGTATGACGCCTCTTGCCCTAATAACATCTCTTACTCGATTATGCATATATCTAATCAAGTTCGCTATTGTTTCTTGTGGAATGTTAAGCCACTCTTCTTCTACTGCAATCGGATTGAGGTCCATAACTCGAAAACCGATTTCTGTAATGTTTTCTTGCACGATCCTTGCGGCGTGCGGTCTAGCATTGTCATGTATGAAATTCGTCTCCAATGTAATCGACATATGGTACCACGGTGATCTGATAAAATATCCTCGATGTAGCTAGCACCTGTTAAACCTCCTGCCCCTTGATCACGGCCGCCGCTACGGTTGAAAACAGAGTTGGTTCGTGCGTCCATAGAAATTGCACCCCACATCATGCAGGAACTACCTCCGCTCTTGTTACATTTTTTTTCCGGTACACTCCTTTCCGTCGATCCAAAAAGGTATATTTTGGTCTCGTCTGAGAGCAGAACAGACCCTTATTGGTCCATTGTCCAATTCAGATAATCCCGTGGAAAGGGTAGACGTGCTTGTCGATGAGCTGGAGTAAGTTTGGGACCAATTGCAGTTGTTTTTGGGGTCAGGTTATTTTCCTTCAGTCTTCTTCTTACTGTCCACTTGCTAATAGCCACCCTTCGAACTAAATGGAGCAGTTGTTGCACTTAACACAATAAAGCGGTCATCACGAGCTGTTGTATTTCACCTTCTGGCTGTTCCAGGGCGCCCAGCAAAGGATGCAGTCTCCTCATACCGTTGGCATAATTTTCGAACTGCTGCTCCTGTCATATCCAGTTGTCGAGCAACAGCTCGCTGGCGAAGTCCACTTTTGATTAAAACGATAACATGAGCGCCTTTTTGCGGTGTAATATGCATCAAGCTAACACAATTAAAAGCTGTACAAATGGTTCAAAACGAAACATCCAGTTGCTAAGTCTATAACAAGTTTGTTACTATCACTAATAACTACTGCATGAACACGTTTCATTTCTTTAACCATATAAAAGGTCAGCACTCTTGACAAATTTAATGAAATTTAATGATCAATACGATTTCACATACGCACTGTTTTCCTATCAACAGTACGAAACGCTGAACTGATTTTTGTCAACATTTTAAAAATTCATATTAATACAATTAAGTGGAATAGATTTCGTTCTAAAACATAATTTAATAAGATAATTATTGGAAAACTACGGCATAGATGAATATAGGTTTTTTCACTTAATTTTGTTCCTATTTCGTTGTCAGATTTTTGAAATTGACGGGTGACAATAGTATATTATGCAACAAGGGTCATGGCACGAGCGGAGCGAGTGTTTAATAAACGAGTGACTTAAAAAGTACATCAAACGTGTTGCATACTATACTTTTTCTACGACCGTTAGTTTTTGGGTACATGTTTTCAAAACAACACGAATACATTCACTGACATGACCGTCATAATTGACAAACGTCAAAATTCAAGCCGCGCGGTAAAATCTCCGAAAACTACCGATTCTTCCCAAACCCGTTCGGTAATATCCCGGAAATGTCCGCAGTGGCTCGGATCCGTCGGACAAGAAACTCAAGCAAAAGGTTATCAGAAAGTCCGAGCAAATTCTTCGCATAGATATCGGTTTTGCTACGATCACAGGTCATTATTCCATTCATCTACTGGTGTTTGTTATCGCAGAATTCGTAAGATTAAAGCAATATATCAACTACAAAAAGCAGGTATCAAATGTAAACCTATATTTTTACATTTACTTACCAACACGGAAAGAACAAATAAATACAAATAAAACGGACATTTTTTTTACAAATGCAATTGCCTGCTATATTTGCAATACTTAATGTAAAATTTCAATTGCAGTTCCGATGCACTTTATCAAATTTCGATAGCGACCATTAAAACATTTGCATTACTACGCTATCACAATGTTGTCCACAGCTTAATTGTTCGAAGTGTCCACTTACAAGTTTATGTGCACTCTAAAAGAAAGGTAAGCTAAGAGAAAAGTTGCAAAAATGGGAAATTGGTCAAATTTGCAGAGTGGTAGAGAGTGTGGATAATTTAAATTTCATGGAAATGTTCACATCAGGAAAACGGTTCAATAACAAAATATGAAAGTGTAAAACATAATTGGAAAAAACAATTGTATTCTGGGACACCAAATTTTTCACAGAATGTCTGTGTTCTCTATTTTCAAAGTAATTCCTCTCTGCGATAATTTTTTTAGCGTCGTTTTACCTCTGAAATAATTCTGATTAGTTAACTTAAAAGAAGGTTGCAAAATTACAGGACAATCTGTATAAGACCGAATTCTTTTTCACGATTGAACTCCTATGGAATTTTTTAGTATATGGTAATTTGTTGTTAATTTATGCTATCAGCGTCTAGATGTGCAACCATTTTGTTAATGCCTTGTCATCTCGAAACAATAAATTAAGATTCTTATTCTATAAAAAACGTGTTTTTTGAGTTTCATTTCTTAAAAGATAATGACTTAAAGTGTTTATTCGTCCGGTACATATTCGCATTAGCAATAATTGATGAACGATTTATCGCCTAAAAATTCAATAACGCCAGATAACGGGCCGCGTCGCTCAAATCCAAATAAAGTGTCCCCAGTTGAACTTGAGAATAACTCCAAAGCCAGTTTCGTGTATAAACAAACATTAATGAAATAAATTTTTCAATGTGAGGTGAGTTTAAGCTGTATTGTCTTTTTTGTCGCCTATATTTGTTGTCTTCAATAGCTTAATTGGCCATTGCTGCGTGCCACAGAATGTTTGACAGTCAATATTACGCTTAACTATATTTATCGGTTGATTACCAACAGCAAACGATTTTATAATTCCATGGATAAGGTTTGGAGTGACCAATTGGAAGTAGACATACACTTGAGAATTAGCTTCGCTCTAAATGCGGCAGTTTTGTTTGTTGACGTAGCCATTCAACCAAAAGTGCGCTTCATCAAAATCGGGAACAACGGCAATCTCGTTTTGGGCCCATTCGACGAATCTACGCCTTACTTGGTGATCGTTTGGCTTCAATTCTTGCACGAGTTGGATTTTGTAAGCACGTAAACCAACATCCTTCTGCAAAATCTTCCATAAAGTGGATGGACACAGATCCAATTCCTGTGCTCGATGGCGGATGGACTCATTCGGGTCTTCCTCAATGCTACGCTCTACAGCAGTAATAGCTTCTTCTGTACGCACCGTACGACGTTTCTGCGGATGCTAGTTATCAATAAGAGTAAACGTGGTGCGAAAACGTTCCATGGTTAATCGAATTAACTGCTCTGATGGACGATTTTGTCGACGATAAAATGGACGTAGTGCGCGATACGTATTCCGCACAGAACCATTATTTTCGAAATAAAATTCAAAAATTTTCATGATGAATTGCCAAACCAAACTGAGAATAAATCACTTGACAGCTGTTAAATCGGTCGCCATCTTGAACAGTAATGCGAACTTAAAGTTCTATACATCGAAAAAAAACACCCATTATAACACCAGTGTGCTTGCCTCGAGAAAAAAATAAATTCGATCCTTTTTCGTTAAATGGTTTTTGCCTTATCCCTTTCGGAAAGCTGGTGGTGGGTGGTCGAACGTTTTCGGAAATAAATGCCTAAAAATAGCCAGCTCAAAGTTTGACAAACCGTGTTTAGCCATTCTGAAGTTATACACGGTGTTCGGAAAATGAGTTAGGAGGAAAAATTGAACGTGGTAAAATAATGGTAGTAAGTCGTGTAATAAAAATTCGAATTATAGCTTGTCAAAAATCATTTTTTTCAATTTTATTTTTAACACGTAGTGGGTTTTATTCTCAACGGAATAGGCTGGTATTTTACACACAGCCCTGATTTAGTAAAAATCATCGTTCCAAAATAAAATTGTTTCAGAAATCTGCCACTAGAGAGCACTTTACCTAGAACATTTTTTGTATTTTCCTTGTATTTTATTTATTTAGACCGATATTGCAAAATAGGACAGTTTGCATTAAACAGAATCACAAATCCTCAAAAATTGTAACTCTTGTTTTAAGCCGATAAGTGTTATCCTTTAGCCTCAAATCTATTTTTTATTCTCGTCCCAAATACCCGAATACAGAAAGGTGAAACTGGATATCACGATATGCATTTCTGTTACGGAAAAGCAAGAGGAAGTGCAGGCCAGCATTATTAACCTGCAGGCGAAGAGCACTAAATTTTTGAAAACAGTATGCTACAAATTAAAAAAGTGCCATTATACTTTTTATAAAACTTGAGGGGGGCTGAGCTAAATGTACATAAACACCGTCTTGGATCACTGATTCCCATATTGGTGGCAAGTAGAGACCCAAGTCGCGGTTAAGATTGTTAGGTTGCTTACAGATTTCTATAGACTTTCAGATTTTTCGTTGGTAGAAGAATTGATTACATGCAAGAATGTTAGTTTTATTGAATAAAATTTTATTTCCGGTTTCGTGATTGTGTTCGGCAAATATAACGTCAAAACCAGATTTACCACTTGTCCAAAAATCGCTCAACATCTTCGGTCTGTCAAAGACAAAATTCCATTTGAGATGCCAGGAGTTTACAGCATTCCATGCATATGCGGAAAAGAATACATTGGAGAGACCGGACGAAAAATATCTTCAACTTCAACTAGGCTCAAAGAACACGAAAGAGCCTTACGACTAAGACAAATAAACTCATCAGCTGTTGCCGAACACAATCACGAAACCGGACATAAAATTTTCTTAAAAATTAGAAATCTATAAACAACCTAACCATCTTAACCGCGACTCAAGTATCTACCTGTCACCAATATGGGAATCAGTCATCCGAGACGGTATTTATGCCCCTCAAACAATATAAAAGCAGGTACAGAGTAAAATTTTTTAGTCAAGCTCTGAAGAAGCCAACAGGAGGATTGGCGAAACGTTAGCTAGTTCGACTCAGCAAAAACCGACGCAAGAGGAATCCAGAAATTTTACAAATCACTTTGATTTCAACAAAAAATGACTAAAAGAGATTTTAACCCGCTAGTTAAAACCGCATTTCGATATCCTTTTTCTAAACCAAAAGTAAAAGAAATTAATACTAGAAATAATGTCGCATGTTTGGGAATATTTTCAGTAGGTATACCTGTTATTACTAACTCCTCGTTTAAATCCTAATATTCGTTCTTAAAGCAATATATATATATATATATATATATATATATATATATATATATATATATATATATATATATATATATATATATATATATATATATATATATATATATATATATATATATATATATATATATATATATATATATATATATATATATATGATGACACTATATTCCGGGATATCATCCGTTCGCTCGTTGAACTCCGACTGGAATCCTGCCAATCCTGCATCCGACTGGAATCCTGCAGACGTTTCGCCAAAATCTCACTTGGCATCTTCAATGCTCGCGCTCCGTGTTCGAAGTGTTTTCGGAACGCGAGCATTGAAGATGCCAAGTGAGATTTTGGCGAAACGTCTGCAGGATTCCAGTCGGATGCAAGATTTGCAGGATTCCAGTCGGATGCAGGATTCCAGTCGGAGTTCAACGAGCGAACGGATGATATCCCGGAATATAGTGTCATCACATTTTTCCATCCGTGAATCAATACGTGAGAATATATATATATATATATATATATATATATATATATATATATATATATATATATATATATATATATATATATATATATATATATATATATATATATATATATATATATATATATATATATATATATATATATATATATATATATATATATATATATATATATATATATATATATATATATATATATATATATATATATATATACGTACTGATTCACGGATGGAAAAATGTGATGACACTATATTCCGGGATATCATCTGTTCGCTTGTTGAACTCCGACTGGAATCCTGCAGACGTTTCGCCAAAATCTCACTTGGCATCTTCAATACTCGCGCTCCGAAAACACTTCGAACACTGTGAACCAGTGTTGTTTGTTTTATTGTTGTTTTATGTTGTTTATTGTTGTTTGTTTAATTAATTATTCTCTAATTTGATTGGATTCTAGTGAGCAAAACTCATAATGAATCAGGAGGCTACCTTACTATTGTAATTGAGAAAAAGTCTGTTTTCCGAATTTTCCAAAAAAATTTTTTTTTAATAAAATAATAACTATTTTCCAACCAACTAATTAAAACTTAAAATTGTGTGCTGATCTAAACAGTCATATTATATTGTACAAAACTGGTTTAAATTTGATTTTGATTTAACGGTAACGCTAAATATTTTTGATTTCAGATATTATCAGAATGGCAGTACTGTTGTTCATCATGTTGTTCCTGCTGCTTGCGTTTTACTTCTATGTAAAATGGCTGTACTCTTACTGGACAAGAAAAGGTGTATTTCAATTAGAACCTAAGTTTCTCATGGGTAACCTGTCCGAAGTATTCACCTATAAAAAATCTTGGGGACTAGTCGTAGCGGACATATACAAAGAATTCAAGCGTCGAAACGTTAAACATGGCGGATTCTACATCATCCTGAATGCGGTATACATGCCTCTAGATCCGAATGTCATACGGAACATATTATTGAAAGATTTCAATCATTTTATGAACCACGGATCGTACGTAAACGAAGAGGCGGATCCCTTGACCGGACACTTGTTCAACTTGGAAGACGACAAGTGGAGAACTCTAAGAACCAAACTGACTCCTACTTTCACCTCTGGCAAAATGAAAATGATGTTTCAAACTTTCGTCATCTGCACCAAACGCTTGGAGGAGGCTATCAACAATCGCGTAGCTCGCAAGGAACCTACTGATTTAAAAGAGATTCTTGCCAGTTTTACAACGGATATAATAGGGAACTGCGCCTTCGGAATCGAGTGCAACTCTCTTCGAGATCCCGAATGCGACTTTAGGCAATATGGTAGAAAAATAGCCGAAAGGACGCTTCAAGAAACTGTGACTTTCATTCTATATCAGATGTTGCCTAGAGTAATTGTTGATATATTAGGACTCAAGACGACGAGTAGTGAGGTGGAAAAATTCTTCCTAGGAGTCGTTAAAGAGACGGTAGACTATCGAGAGAAGAACAACGTGTTCAGGAAAGACTTTATGCACCTCCTGCTTCAACTTAAGAATCAGGGCGTGGTTACCGATGACGAAACCATCACTAGAGGTGAAAATAGAGGACAATCCACCCTTACGTTTAACGAACTGGCTGCGCAGTGCTTTGTTTTCTTTTTGGCGGGCTACGAAACGTCCTCAACAGCCATGTCTTTCGCATTATTTGAATTGGCTTTAAATCCGAGCGTCCAAGACAAACTTAGGAAGGAAATCAATGACGTTCTGGAGAGACATAACGGCCAGTTTACCTACGAAGCTGTGATGGAGATGTCTTATTTAGATAAAGTCATTTTGGGTAAGATATCCAGTTGATCAAACTTTGAATTGGTAACTACATTACCTTATATTTTTTTGTCTAATAAACATTCAACTTATTATTATTATGGAAATTTTACTGTCAACATTTCCAGAATACTCCCAATGAGTCTCGATTTATTGCTGCAATTCCAGAAACATTAAGGAAGTATCCGGCCCTTCCAGTGATAATTCGTGCGTGTAACAAGACTTATAAAATCCCTGGAACTGATTTCGAAATCGAAAAGGGGACTCTAGTCAATATACCCATAGTGGGCGTTCATATGGATGAAGAGTATTATCCAGAACCCGAAAAGTTTGACCCTGAACGATTCAGCGAGGAAAACAAATCTAAAAGACCCAACTTTACGTACTTGCCCTTTGGAGAAGGTCCCAGGATGTGTATAGGTAATGTGCTTATCCGGAAAATCGTTTAATTTATTAGTATAATGCCTCGTTACAGGCATGCGGTTTGGGTTACTCCAGAGCAAGGTTGGATTAGCAACAATTATTCGCAGATTTAAAATTGCCTTAAACGATAAGACGATAACACCGATTCAAATGGACCCATCAGTATTTTTCCTCAGTGCGAAGGGAAAACTATGGTTCGATGTAAAAAGCGTTTGATGTTTGTGACATCATGTAAAGATGTAAAGATGTTATACTATATTACAAAATCTCTTCCAAATATAATTAGACGAATACGAGACCAGAATTTATATTTTTATTTATCTTTAAACAATATCGAGGAAGAATTAGCAAACTATTTGAATTGCTGTTGTGGAACTTGTTATTATGTAGCTTCAGTATGCAACCAATTATGAGCTTGTGTATTTTGGTCACTTGTGAAGAAATTAATTTACTTTGCTCACTTGGGATTTACAAAGTCACTTTGTTCACTAAATTGGGCTTAATTCTAATCAATTTTTGGTAGATTGTGAAAGAAATTTAAGGAGAGGTTTTAATCGAGAATTACAAAATCACGAAATTTAATACAACAAACTTTGAGTTATAAATTGAGGCTTTGTTACTTTGCCCTATAATCTGATTAAGCACGCATTGAATCCCTAAATGTTGATTCCTTTTAAATACTGTTCCCGAATTTCGCTTGCTAAACATGCAAATAAATCTCGGTCTTACAAAACATCGCACGGAAAGGAATACGGGGAATTGTCTGGATCGTTCTCGCCAATTTCTATGAACAATATGCCCCAATTAGCGCCAAATTGTTCCTCCCACTTAAAGAGGATAAAACTCAACAAAACGCGAAGAAATCTGCGAAAGCCCCGAGCATTTTATGCATTACAGTCATTTTGCTTTATTTTTCTTAGAAACCCCGCCTTAGAACCAAAACAACAACTTTCCTTGTCATTTCTAAGAGGCTCATAAATTTTGTACGACTTCAATATCATATCTGGTCTCGGCAAGTATAACTGTAATTTGTTCCCGAGAAAAACATATATTATTCACGAACTTTTCAAAGAGGTTTCCGCACAGTGTATCAAAACAGAATCCTTCTGAAAGCACTTCGAAAAATACATATAACACTTCGGTTACAGATCGATTCGTTTAAGAGGTTGGCGACGACGACGTCGCCTCCATTTTAGAGAACTGGGTTAGGTTAGACATTTTTTGTAAATTGATTGACTGAATTCTGCAGATTCACTAATAAAAACTATTAAACACAAAACATGAACCGAAGAAAATCTGATAAATCTATCCCAGGATATATTCATTAAAATGGTGTAATTTATTCATCTTAAATGTCAACAAAGGTGTACTCCACAGTTAAGGGTCATAGAGCATTGACAATTCTTGTTTTGTGTTTTATTGTATTTTATTATTTTTTTAAAATTATGTAAAAGCAAGTTAATTAATTCTCATTTCACGAGCTTCATTTAGAGGGGGTTATTGATATTTAGTAACTTACGAAGTTATTCTTTAGAGACCGATCACTAGAACATTGATTTTATATGTGAAATTTATCAGAGCTTAAATACTCATGCAACAAATTGCAGCAACCAAAAAAACCAGCAACTTGGAGCTTCAAATTGGAGTTGGAGCTCAGTTTTGAGAGTCACTCTGCTCTTGTATTAGGTTGTGACATTACTAGATATATATGTATTCTTTCAAGGTATTTCATCTTCTTCTTCTTTTTCTTGCGGTGCCTAACCGTTCCGAATGTTGGCAACTTGCATGGCTGTTCTTACTTTGTCTTCATCCTGGTCCTCTTTTGCAGTACACGTTTCCTTGTGGAATTAATTGGAGGAGGTTATATCGTTGTTCGTTCCTCACAATATGGCCTAGGCAGTACAATTTATGTTTTTTAATGGTTGTAATAACTTCGCATTATTTGCCGATTCTGCGTGTGACTTCATTATTTGTAACTCGATCTACCCAGGGGACCGAACGCCTCCAGTTTTTTCATAGCAACAGTCGACAGCGTCCAAGATTCCGCGCTGAAAACTGAAAACGTATAGCAATGTAAAACGAATATCTTGGTTTTCAGCGGCAGGTTGGTGGCATTTAAAGGTGGTGCTTATCTTTATAATGCGGCTTTGGGTCTTGCTATACCTTGTCTTATTTTCAAGGAGTGATCCCATTGACTGTTTACATTAGTGCCAAGATATGTGTAGCTTTCAACTCTTTCAACTGGCCTTTGATAGTCAGCTGAGTATTGAAGACTGGACGTTTGCTAATGACCATATATTTTGTCTTCTTCGTGTTTATTTCTAATTCGTACTATTGGCTAATTTCAGTTATAGATGTCATCAGTGTTTGTAAGCCTTCTACACTGTCTGCGAATATCACTGCGTCGTCTGCGTATCTGATGTTATTCAAACGTTGACCGTTAAATAGTATCCCTTAACATTAAACAGCATGAGGGACAGTACACACATTTTTGTTTCACTCCATGCTTAATTGAAATTGCTTCTGTCAACTGGTTGTCTACTCTTATGTTAGCACTTTCTTTATAGTAAATATTATAGATGATTCTCAGACCTTTATCATCTAAGGCCATCTTTTTGAGCAGTGATACATGTTCGACATGTCTAAATTAATCTAACGCCTTCTGGTAGTCCACAAAGCGATATATATCACAGTTGACGTCCCTGCACCTTTGGAATAAGACCTGGATAGCAAAAAGTGCCTCACGTGTGTCCAGAGCATCAACATCAAACCCAAATTGTGTACATGTTATTCGTTTTTTGCATTTTTTTATATTCTCGCTTGTGGATAATTGTTAGGGAAGTCTTAAGTAGGTAGCTCATAAGTAATTCTATACTCATCACACGTTTTTGCATTTGGTTTCTTTAGCAAGGTCACAAATGTCGATTTTAACCAGTTCTGGACAATTTTTCCAGTATTATAGATAAAATTAAATATTTTGTTATCCATTTTATTTCGTTGCCCTCATTAACTTTAAAAATTATAAGTAAAATTTATCAGGTCCTATTGCTTTACTATCTATGTTCCCTCCTATAGCAGTTCCTACCTTGTCGGTTGTAATCCAAGGTCTAGTTATACATTCTGTGCTTCGGCTTAACCATGGTAGCAGGAGAGTATTCTTCTGCTCTGACAGTAAGGCTGCACTTATGGCGCTAAAGTCGGTGCGCACGCTCTCCTTGTTGATAAAGGAGTGCAAGAGGGTACTAAGGAAAGTGACCGAGGTGAGGACTGTCATGTTGGTCTGGATCCCGGGTCACACCGGGATCCGGGGCAATGAAGCAGCGCACGCCTTAGCCAGGGAGGGCTCCAGAGCCCCGCTTGGGGATCGCCCCGTGCGTGAGTCGGGGAGCTATCGAAGCTTAGGTGAGAGAACGGGCCGTGATGAGCTGGAGGGTTGCCCTGGGAATGAGGCAGGCGCGGCTTATGATCAATGGGCCCGCCCTCCCTCGGCTGCTTGGACTGCCAACAAGGGAGTGTAGAGCACTAACAAGGGCCTACACAGGACATTGCAGGCTTAGGAGGGATATTTGCTTGCTAGGCATTGGAGACGACCTGGAGTGCACATGGTGCATGGAAGGGGAGGACTACTGTATCATCTGCTCACCGAGTGTCCTGCTTTGGCATGGGTAAGACTTGGAGTCTTCGGAACGGCCCTGATCGATCTGGACTCAGTGCACGGTATTGTTCTAAAGGAGTTGCTGACCTTCTATAGGAGGGACGGCATTTTAGACGCCCTTTAGCATGGTCTGAGGACACAACCGCGCCCCCCTTAAATGCCAATACCAATACATTCTGCGTTACTTGTGTCATTGTGTCGTTCATCCCTAAATATTTCCTCTATATATTTCATCCAAGCGTCCTTTTTTTGTTCTACATACATTTATTATTAAGTTTCCTTGAGTATCCACCAGGCGTCCAACTTTTTTGTGGAGATTGAAAGAGGCTTCCATGTTTAATTTATTTTCTATAGTCATTCACATACCGGATTAGTAAAAAGTACCGAAACGCCTAAATATCTACAAAACTGCCAAACTGGAAAGATAAAATTCAATACCTACTATCAACAGCAATGTAGTCAGATTTACCACTTTTACGTCACACTGCACGATTTTGTTATTTTAAGTAGCATGCCTTATATATTTTTGTTGTAATTTAGCAAGGTGTCGTAAATTAATTATTTTGTTTCTATTAATTACTAAGCAACGAAAACATCGTGTTTTTTAGTAAAGAGTACCGGAACTATTAAATATCTCTAAAATTGTCCAAGCTAGAACGATAAAATTCAGTGCTTGGGCGTTTTTGGACATGCAGATTTTAAAAATGCTAACAGAAATGTCAGATTTTGCGATGAAATTTATAATTCCGGTACACTGGTACACTTATAAATTCATTGCAACAAAAATAAATAGGGCATTCCATTTAAAATAACAAAATTATGACGTGTAACGTAAAAGTGACAACACCGCGGCTAGCATTTTTGAATTCTGCATGTACGAAAACCCCCAAGTATTGGATTTTTGCCGTTCCGACTCTGACAGTTTTGTAGATATTTAATCGTTCCAGTACTTTTTACCTAAAAAACGGTAATTTTTGTTTTGTTTCAATCTATGTTTTTCGACCACATAAGTTGATTGCTTCATCTCCTTCTCAGCGTGCGGCAAAAGCAGAAAATGCGGCTTAATAGGCCCCACTAATATGAAAATGCTACCACGGCAACATTTCAAATCGAAGAAAATACCGAGCCGTGAATATCGTCAGCTGCATGCTCTGAAGGCTTTCCTTCTTTAACGAGCAATTTCTTTGCGTTTGAAAAATAATTTACGCGATGACTGAGCGGGAAAACGTAAATCGTGTTTGCTTGTTTGGTAAGATCAATAAAAAGATCGGCCCCTATTTTGAACGGTATTACATTTTAATGCAAAACTAATATTGGAGAAATCCGGAGCGTTCAAGATCCACCTAATGAGAAATATCGCGATTCCGGCCCATGTCCCTGCAGGATTTTCATAATGCGATCTCGTCGAAGCATTATTAGGCTCAAATAATAAGTTGTTTATGCGTCAAATTGATAGCGTATGATGATTAAAATTCGGGACCGTCGAAATTGTCGAGAGTCACAGCGAACTAATAAGATGGCAAATAAAGCTTTCGGAACAGCGTCGAAGTATTGAGCTTTCGACAAGTTCGTTGCTTGAATATTGATTGCGTCTTTAGATTCTTCTAAATACAAAGTCCTCGAGGTGCGGCTCACAATTCA